ATTATTATTATTATGTCATATTTATTTTCAGCATAATCAGACAGTATCTCAATTTTGACCAGTTAGAAGCATCCATTATGTTTCCATAGTAATGTTTCTGTAAACCCTTGATGTGTCTAATTATAAGCTTTAATAAGTTACACCATTTGACCAAAATTGAAAGGGCACTACACGGGAAAAAGTTGAACCTTTACCATTCTATTTTTTCAAGGCATATCTGATGTAAAGTACATGTAGCATTATCAAAATACAAGAAGGCCACTTCTCAGCTACTTTCTTTTCCTGACCAGTCTCAAAATCAGTTGGGCACAATTAAGAACCAAGGGGAGTCAACATGTGAAATTCGACATCAACCTTGTACTTCCCCACAAAAAACAATAACAAATTTTTGTTGCCATACCCCATAGTGGTTACCTGTCGGTCATATTATTTTCTTTGTTCAGTCATGATCATAAAATTGAAAGGGAAAAAGGAGAAATCTCATAAAGATCAATCCTGTACTTTTCCAGAAATAGCAACATGAATCTCTCACTGTCACAAAATCAAAGATGGCCACGTGTCAGCCATATTGTTTTTTCCCTAATCAGCCACAAAATTAAAGAAATATCCATCTGGCCCTTTTCAAAAAGCTATGACAACAAACTTTCATTATAAAAATAAAAAAAATGGCCTTCTCTCTGACAATTATATTGTTTCATCAGGATCAGTATCAAAATTAAAAGCACACAACAGGAAACAAAGAGAAATCTTTAGATGACATTTGAGAAAGATCTATCCAGTATGTTTTCAGAAATAGAGATACTTGTAATAAAGTTTCATTATGAAATCCAAGATAGGTGTGTGTCAGCCTTATTGGTTTTCTTGGATCAGTCTCAAAAAATTAAAACTTTAAAATAAAAGATTTACTTTTAACTTCTACAAGTAGGTACATCTGACTTCTCACCTGTGTAAATAAATTTGTGGTGACAATCCACATTACATGATCTCGGTTTTTATGCAATCATAAAATTTTCTTTTTGATTTAGAAGTTCTATATAATATAACTGACAATGTCTCTCAGTGGTACAAATGTTTCAGTCACAATCAGCCGATAGATAACCTGGTTGGGCACAACTCTGCATGTGGGTAATTGAGGAATGCGTATTGAGGAATAGTTACTGCTTTCAGTAATCAATTATATATTCAAATGCAGATTCGTTTTGAAAACCAAATATACTGAATTGCCTTGTCGTAATATACGTAGACTTCTGGCAAAATCGGGATAATCTCCACTTTCCTAAGGCCCATTCCCAACCTGTTAGCATAGTAGGCTACATGTACCACGGGGACATTTTTTTTATCTTCGATAAACAGTACTTACCTTTGGAAGTATATTGTTTCTAGGCTTGCGTATGCCTGTTATATAAAAGTATTTAACACAGTTAACTCAGCAGAACTGTTTGTACCAGTTCATTTCTTTTTTTAAGTTTTGACAACTAGATACCGGAAGTGAAAAGTAGCAATGAAGCGGTGTATTAAATACTAACTGGACTATGATACCGACAACAAGCGTCAAGAAATTAAAATAATATATGAAATATGTCATAATCACGAATGTTCCGAGCGGCGACTAAGTTGTAATATGTTTATATTAATTGAATATTAATGAAAATATAAATAAAATCAATTGGTGAAAATCGATCAAGCGTAGGTATGACAAAATTTCACACTATCCGTAATACCGCCCTTTACTCAGACTCTTCTGTATAACTTGATCCTAACGTTACATGATCTCCTGACATAGGTGCGACTTTCTACACAATGTCACGCGGTTTCAAGTTGATATTTTTAACCTCGAATTACAATGATACACTTGGTACTTTGCAGATTTTCTTTTCTTTATGTCAACAATGATAAATTATTCCTGACAGACCCTTGTAACCCACCAATGTATGATCTTTATCAATACATCTTTCATGACAACATGCATTGCCTATATATAGCTTCTCCATTAATGGTATATGGATATCTACATTATAAGTACACACAACTTATGAGATTTTTATGAATCAATTTTATTTCACTCTCATCCATTCATTCGACTCAAATTTGGAATCTCCTAGCCTGTAGACTGAAATGTACCGGGATAATATTTCTCAAACTTGATGTACATTATCCATGATCACCATTCACACCCATTCATTTTTGCGTTTTCTAAAGAAAACTAAGTGTCTGACCCAAGTCCATCTGGGATTGTTACAGTTTAATATGTTTGCTCTGAAAGTTCTTGTTAGATCTTTCAAAGATTTTATATAAAGGATTCCATTGAGAAAAAAAACCAGTCTTACATATAGAGTCAATATCATTCAGTGATGGAGGCAAAGATTCATCCAGGATTTCTTTTATCAGATGTAACATTAGAAAAAAGTCGATATCCTTTGGTTGTATATAACCCATTAAGTTCAGAATGTGATTGTTAATCTGAAATATTTACACAAAAGAAAGACTAAAATTATCACATGTATTGTATGTGTTAACAAGAAAATGGCTAACAGATAGCCATGGTTGATTTTTAGATTTTAGATCATCTGATATTGGACCTTTTCATATCATCTTTAATTAGATAAAAATTGTATTGCTCTCTTGGGGTGAATTTGATAATCGATCACAGGTACTATAGACAGGCTTTCCTATCTTATGTAGTTACATATGCATGTAACCCTGGAAAAAAATACCAGCCGCAATATACCACTCGGCTAGAGAGAACTTCTCTTTAGCTCGAAATAAATAATGACCTCTGTTACATGCAGATAAACACGAATCAGTCACTGCTGTTCCTCCAATGTGCAGATGGAGCTTCTGGTTTCGCTATTTCTTGGGAAGTATTAGGTGGTTTCCCTTGGTCCGTAGTTATGCCCGTAGTTATTTTACGACATATCAGAAAAAAATGGCTGACAGACTGCCATCTTGGATTTTATCAATGAAAATTTGTTATCGCAGTTTCTTGAGAAGTTTGGATGGATTTTCTCTGAAATTTCATATGTAGGTCCCCCTAGCTTGGTCCCTGGTTGTGCCTGTTTGTATATACCATCTGGCAAAAGCTTATTATCGATATTTTTTTGTTCTCAAATATCTATAACAAATCAAAACAAAACAAAAATCAGGAATACTCCGTTTAAATTTTCCGCTTAACCAAATACTGACGTCAGTAAGTCCATTTTCGGTAACAGCCTGTAATAATTTAGTTCCTCGTGTCATTATATATAGCAAATGTATGAAATATATAGTTACACATTTGACTTGATTAGAGAAATTTTACTGAAACTCTGGATTTTTTTAAAAATAATTAGATCATGATTTTATGGTTTATTTTTCGTTTTGTTTACCTTGGGGATATCTAGATTTATTTATTTCAACACCGACTGAATCTCTGTAAATCATAGAATACAGTCTTATATACTACAATTTGTCATATTAATGTGATATGGAGGAATACAACACAGAATGTAAATATTACATTTATATCTACCAGGACTACTTTTTTGAGGACGTCTCACCTTGACTACCGAATGTGTATTCGTACGCTTGGACATTCACAGCCTCATGTTTATATAGAACTAAACGGAAAACTGGTGGTAGAGTGGAAACATAACTTTATGAAGCGTAAAATCTAATTTACATTCCAACTGGAAATTACCAGGAAAGTGTATTTACTATATATTCTATATCTAAGTCCATGATTCAGGTATTTTGTGAAATCGCGTGAAACGTCGTCTGCTTTCTGGCTTGCGGTAACAAGATGACGTCGTGGATGTAGAATCCTTGTGAATCGGTAACAAAAGTTTGTTGAGTAGAGGTATTTTCAGTTCATAGAACTTATACATGTATTATATACCCCTTATGAATGATTTCCATGGGACATGCATCAATGACAAGGTTAGGTAATCGTAAAATGAAGGCATAATTCAGATAGAACTGGCGAACTTCGAAATAGCCTGAACGAGGTGACCGGTTGCGACTCAAGAGTTCGATGCTCAGCTGGGGCAATTTTTTATACGTATATATTTTTTCCCTCTTAATATAGTTTTCGAATAAACTGATGAATACATAAATAAAGTACAAAAAAACCCAGTTCATATTCATGAACTGTATCAGAAAATCATTGGTCATTTTCGGAGAAAATCATAGTTTTGCCAGGGACATGTCAAATATTGAGAAAATGAACGATTGTGTGTTATCGGCATGCTAAAGGATGCATTATCTCATAACAAGGTGGCATGACAGTTTGGGATGCACATTAATGTATAATGTATACGGTGAATATTTTCTGGAGGCGTTCTCAGCAGACCCCGATTGGACCGCCTACGAACAGAATGTCTGCACGTGACGTCATGTAGGAAAGATATACGGACGTCATATTTTCGTTATCGGTTTCGGAACCGTTCGATTGGGAAAGGCTAACATCCGCCCTCGACACTTCCCTATCCGTCAAATTCTGCCTCATAATCACAGAGTTACGTGCTAAGCATGATGTAGGAGATTCACCGAAAGGGACAGATCTGAAGTGATATTCACAGACGAGTCCAGATTTGATATTGACGCGTGGCATGAATCAATGCAAATCTGGACAGAACAGTACTGAGCTTGCGGAGATGGATTTGCAACCCTTGCCTTTATGCTGCTATAAATTTTAAGCCCCGAGTGACCGACTGTCTTATTCATTATTGAGATAATGCGTTGTAAAGAAAGATTTGTTACGAAATGTATTATTTTGCGGATGAATTGATAAATTGATACACAATTTCTTTTCTACACTAGTATATGTTGAGGTGAGCATCTAGTAGCCCGCGGGTTTTATGTTATACTTTTAAAAGAAATGAATCTAAGATACTGGTTGAAGTTAGTACATCATTATAGATATTTATTATCATTTTCTAAATAATATATATTTCCTTTGTCTATTTCTTCTTTTTCTCGATCTATGTATTTTTCTTGTGGTTTTTTCTTTATTTCCTCCCAGCTTGTTTACTCTCTTTGGGTTTTGTCACTTTGTAAGTGTAATCTTGGACGTTTGGTAGCCCGTTCACGATGCAGGCACTTAGCCCACTTCTGTCAACATTCATCTCGGTGGCATCAAACCTGGTAAAATAAATAAATAAAATAAGAGAGAAATTTTGTCAACAGTATTTTCCCATTTTTTAAGGTATCACACAAAAACGTCCATCCTGGAGATAGAAAAATAAAATTAAAATTTCTCACTGTCCGAAACCGAACTTTGGCACACCAGATTGATTCTCTCAGTGATAAACGATGGTGATGATAATTTTCTATTTTTCCACGAAGTAAAGGTGTATTATGACAACATGACTATTATGATTAAAGGTATTGTCATTCAATTGCTTCAAGCCTGTCATCAAATAATTATAAAGCATTTCACCATAGGTATGGAAATCAATATATGTATCTATGTCATATGACATTTCCATGAAGCTTTGTCATATCAAATATTAAACATCTCATATCAAATTAATGTGATTTATAAGCTAGTTCGCTCGTTATAGTTTGGTACAGGTTTTCTGTCTCCGCGACGCCTGCCGTTGCCGGGTGTCACCGACGAACGTCAGTTTTCTGGCGACATGCCCCGAACTCGGTTGGTTACAGGGTTTCCGTCTCCCTGCGCGACGCCTCCTGTTGCCGGGTATCGTTTCATTGACGGACGTCAGTGTTCAGGTGACGTGAGATTAATGTGATCTACAGATGTATGTACGACTCTATAGCTGTGTACCAAACAGAAATACGAAATCTACAAGGACCTTTGGCAGTACGAATGGAAGTTTAAACTGACTTGGAGGGGAGGGGGCGATCTAAACAGCTCCGTATTTCACGTCTGGCGAACTTTCGCAACTCACCATTGTTCTGAGCTCTTGTCGAAACACTCCACGTTGCTGATGGACGTCACAGCATTAAAACCTCCAATAGTAAAGATCATGTCGTCGATCACCTTCCAAAAGTAAATGGTTGAAACAATTTGTATATTCAAATAAACATTCGAAAGATTACTTAAAATGTAAAAAAAAAAAAAAAAAACTCGAAACTGTCAGTATGACATTTAGAAAGATCTGATCACTCGCCTCTCACCTAGATGACAATTGATTTCTAATTTACTCACACAGTAACGTTAACCGTTCTGTAATACCGGTACAAACTATAGATATTGACTCACTGGGAAATATTTGTAAAAGAACAGGTATATACATATACCAAACTGTTGATGAAAATGGAATCAAAATTGGAAAGAAAAAGTGTTGCATCAAGTGCATGCTGTATGCACCCCTCTCCGCCTCTCTCTGGTTTGCTGAACTTGGAGGAAACACCAGACTATGGGCATGTTTTAGTTCCTCACGCACGTTTTATTTCTCAGACATAAACATTAATAAGCAAAGTCGATTGAGCAAATCACTTTTATAGAGAGTAAATATTGTACAACTTGTTTTGTTACCGTTGAGAATATATGAACACCCTTTGTAAATTTATTTATTTACGCATAATCAGCCAGCTACCAGATAATTCGTCTACGTGACATTTTTGTGCACACGTCACAAGTGTATTATATCGTGGATATATTTTTCATTGGCCGAGCCAGTCAGAAATCGATTGTGATGTGATAATGTTGATGCGTCATGAAAAATAGGACAACAAAATGGCTGTCTTCGTTTGATTTGATCTTTCACATTTTGACTTTTCTGACTCGTTTCATAATATATCATATGTAAATTAAGATTCTTTATTTAGGTTTGGGGATATAGGTAATCTCCATATGTCTGTATAGAATGGTGTCCTTTTCTGGAGGGAATAACATTTTTTAAAAATTGTTTGCGAAAATTACCTCCACGCCAAAATTGGTTCGCGGGTCGAACATTTCTGGGATAGTCTGCCACCGAGCGGTAGTCGGGTTATATCTCTCAGCCGTGTTCATCCGGGCAATTCCGTTAAACCCGCCAAGCGCGTAGATTTGATCACCATATGCAATCACTCCCACTCCACTACGTCGGTTGCGCATGGGCGTAATCATCGTCCACTGATTTGTCTTCGGGTCGTAACATTCTGCCGAATTCAAACATTCTTGTCCGTTGGAGCCACCACAGATGTAGATCTTGTCTGTATAAGTAAGAGGTCTTAGTTTCAATATCTGGTCAAGTTAGTGTACAATCACATATTTTCGTTTACTCAATTTTCGTGGTTTAAAAATGCTACTTCGTGGTCACTTGATTTCGTGGATGAATATAGCTCAATAAATCTAGTTACACAAATTTCAATTGTGGATCGAGGAAAATAAATCCCCATGAAAATGAATGACTTCACAGTAATTGTCTAGGTGGATCATCAAAATTTGTTACAGCAACTTGAAACATAAAACAATTGTTTCCATAGTTACATCAATTGAGTTTTGTGTTAACTGTAGTGAGCGGATTATATATTAACCAAATACTGTTTTCTGTGACGGCGTATTATAATCATTCGTCTTGTTAAGAAATTCGGGCTATAATTTCAATCAAACTCTCGAAGATTTCATCGTCTTTCGATAATATTGAAGAAGAATAAAATTTCTTTTTTTCCGATTTCCTTCCTTACTTTCTCATTACCACTTTATTTTCATTGGGCGAAAATTTCGTGATTTTAAAGAAAAAATGCATTTCCGTTTGCTCTTCTTTAAGATAAATCTTAAGAAATCCACCAATGCTAAAATCCATGTAAATCTTTACTTGTGGACATATTCCCACGAAATCAACGAAAATGAAACTCCCATTATTGATAGAAATGTATCCGGTGATTACTGGAGGTGTTCCTATAGTTACAAGTTACCATGGAGAGTAGTAGCGCTAGCGTCACTACGTTGGTGGTTCATTGGTGCGATTAGACTCCATTGGTTTCGACCGGGGAAGTATTGCTCTGCCGTATTTAGTCTTACGTGACCGTCATAACCTCCCATAGCATATATGTAGACTCCCAGCACAGCAGTACTAACGTAGCATCTGTGGAAAATAATAATAAAAAACAATTTCGGAAAGTAAGTGTAGGGAACTTCCGGACTGCATGTGCAAAAATCGATAATTGCCATGTGACATTAAAGCTGAAAGAAATCGAAAAATGTTTTTTTATGTTAAAAATTGTACTGACCGTTTTGAGTTCATGGGCGCGGCTTCGGACCAGAGCTTGCTGACGGGGTCAAAGCACCGAACATTGTTGAAGTACTGTGTTCCGTCGAAACCTCCAATGACGTAGATTTTGAGGTCAATTGTTACCGTGCCGTGGTAGGCTCGGGGAACTGAGAAAAATCACAAAAAACCCTTAACAATCCAGTAGTCACGCTGTCGGTATAGAAATCATGGCGCTCTTTGATTATTTAATGGCTAAATATGTCGATATAGAAATATTATTTTCGTCCTTGGTCATTAAATGGATTTTAATTCACTACATGAGTACCTTGAGACATAAAAAAATACCAAAAATCTTACTTTTCTCTGTTATCAAAATACATCAAAATTACGGTCGACCAGCTGTATCGGTATAATACTATACTGACGAATGTTTCCACTTTTATCAAATAGAGTTATCTACAAACTATCTTGGCTCTATTATGACTTATTCCAAACACGAAGGCAAACTCAGTATGCCTTGAACGTGGTTACACTCAAGGATTTCGCAGAATTAATAAGTAATAGATATGATTTAGAAGAATCAGATGAAAAACTCGCCACGAAACCGCTCAGCTATTTTCCCTTTTAATTGTTGAAAATACGTAACTCCAACGGATATTTATTCGGGGTAATATATATGTAGAGGTATTGTGACGTAATATCCAACCGTTGCAACTAATTGTAGCGTGGAACTTCCTCACGGAGTCAAATATATAATACTGTCTCCTGTCTCTCAGTAAGTGTCCTACACAATAGCACCAGACACCAGCCACAATACCCGATTTTAGATAAAGTCAAGAGTGGGTCAATGAAAAATACAATTCAACACCAATCCTTAGTTTCGAACTTCTGTATTCAGAATTATCAACATGAAGGGGAATAGTTACAGTTCATATGTACAGTACGCGCCATAACTCTCGCCGATATAGGGTGATATCCCTCTCTTACAGCCCAGTTCTATCAAACAAAGCAACGCTTCGACATGTCAAAGGGTGTCCGAGACAGCAAATACCAATTGAACTACGAGATATAAATCCAATAAGTGTCACACTGACAAACAGTTGACATATAAGTGATGTAAAGTATGAATTTAAATACTCACCTTCATCTGTGGAATCGCACATAATCCATTTATCTGCACGTGTGTCGTACGTTTCCATGATATTAGTGGGGGCCCCACCGCTCCATCCACCGACCACAAACATGACCTCATGTGGTACCCGAGGGAGCGTGAGCGGATTTGTAATGTCAAGGTCTTTTTCCTCGTTCATGTCGAGCGCATAAAGACATTTAAGAGTTTCGATGACAAGGGGTTTGCATTCTGCATTTTCCTTTACATACGGGTGAGATTTCACTTTCTCAACAAAGAACTGAGTTGAAAGCAGTCCCAGTCGAACAGTCCGAAGTAAAGTGGCGATGTGACACTTCCTGTTTTCGGGGTCGTGATCAATCCAGCGTAACAACGCCGTAAAAGTCATTTCTTCGTTTTTCACATTTAGATCGTCAGAAGACAGTATTTCGCAGACTTCCTCAACGCTGAGATCGTAATATTCTGAATTGGTAGCTAGAACGTTGCTAAAATTGTGCATCAAGAAGCGGTATGCACTCTTAACCAATTTATGACAAAAGTAGGCACGTGCGAAATTGTAAATACCGATACAATTTTCAGCCTCTAATTCACCAGCGAGGAAATCACAACAGCCAGTAACTAAGCCGTGTACAAGAAGCCGATCAGCCGCCGGAAGTAGACGTTCCACATTGGTCTCGTCGATTCTTGCATGACGTGTGTACGCATAGTCGATGATGATTTGCATTATATCTGCTGAAACTCCGGGTATATAGACCTCTCGTTTTTCCACTGAATCGAAGGAGTTAGTAAATAAGGCCCGGAAGTAGGGACTGCAGGCGGACATGATTGCTCGGTGAATCGGAAACTCTCTGTGCTCTACCTTGATAACTGCATCGCAAAGCTGACCGAATCTTCTCATTTCATCGTAAACAAGACACGAATGGATACTAAATCGCTTCCCAAGTGCTCTTCCTCTCGTGTTTTCTTCATATTCATCCGATTCCATTTTTAAGTATTATTTTTCGTGTATCTCATACTTCAATACCATTACAGCTCACACTAAACATGCACCCGTATCTCCGTGTCATAAGTATCTAACCATAGTTGTCAGGTCGGACGTCATAATAGAGATATTTTTGTGACGTCATAATGTTGAATGTTGTGTGACGTCATACTTCTATCACTGTACATACGGTAAGCGTTGTACGATACCATACATCTTCGAATATCGTCTTTGTTCAAGAGAAACCTGTGTGGACACCTATTTTACTGCGATGCTGCCAATTTAGAAGCCATGACTTAATGAACAATGCATTCGTGTCGTATTCTATAAATGTCTAAATGGGTCAAATGTATATCATGTCTTTGCAATTATAGATAAAGCATACGAAATACCTATATATGGCATACAGGGTTAAGATGTTACGATACAGCCGAGAGTATTTGAATTCTAACCATGATCACAGCCGATATGTACTTTTGTTTTTGTTTAGATAACATTTTTTCGCCAACAGACGAGATTTTTTGGACATACTGGGATATCCGAGAAAATCCATATATTTTGTTTTGTTTTTTCCCCCAAATGTGAAAGCGAAATCTTAAATGCATGATGGAAAGGCCGTGCTTTGTGTCAAAATGTGTGTATGGTTCGATGTTTTCCATCTAGAAATCATGGATCCACGACTAAAGTTATTCTATGGTGATATAAAGTTTGTACATTTATTATTAGAATAGACGTGAATGTGACTGGTGCCCGCTACTTATAAATAATTAATGATTGTAAGCTTGTAGTTCATACCTAGGTGAAAGTTTCATATGACACATGTCATTAAGCGGGCAATATTTTACGTAATTTTTCGGTACAAATTAAAGTGGATAATGAAATAACAGAACATGTTTTATTGAAATGAAAGCGGGATACATTGATGTTGTTGTTGTTGTTGCTGCTACTGCTGCTGAAGTCGCCACTGTTGTTGTTATTATTACCGTTGTAGTAGTTGTTGCTGCTATTGTTGTTGCTGTTGTTGTAGTTGTCGTTGTTGGAGTTGTTGCTGTCGCTGTTGTTGTTGCTGCTGTTGAAGTTGTCGTTGTTGTTGTTGTTGTTGTTATTGCTGTTGAGATTGTTGTAGTTGATGTTTTTTGTTGTCGTCATGGCTGTAGTTGTTTCAGTTTTCCTGGTTTTTGTTACCGTCCTATAACTAAACCTGTGTTTGTTTGTTCCTCATCAGGCGGAAGACTTAAAAAGAGACGTCTTATATATAACGATCAATAATATTAAGATTTTTTGATGTTTAACACTTTACCTCAGTGATATTCACAATAATGAGTTCATTATAGATCAACTGTCTCAGTACATCAATATACATCTAATTCACCGCACCAAGACGTGTAATTCATCAGACTAATGCACGTGTAATTCATCATACCAAAACACGTGTACTTTATCATACCAAAACACGTGTAATTCATCATACCAAAACACGTGTAATTCATCATACCAAAACACGTGTAATTCACCTTACCAAAACAAGTGTAATTCATTACACCAAGACACGTGTAATTCATCAAACTAAAACACGTGTAATTCATCAAACTAAAGCACGTGTAATTCATCAGACTAATGCACGTGTAATTTATCAAACTAATGCACATGTAATTCATAATACCAAAACACATGTAATTAATCATACCAAGGCACGTGTAATTCATCATACCAAGGCAGGTGTTATTGTACATTGTACCAAAAAACGTCTAATTCATCACACCGAGACACAAGAAATTCAGTGTAACAAAATATGGGTTATTCATCACACTAAGAAACATCTAATTAATGATATCAAGAAACATGGTATCCATGATATGATGACACGTGTATTCATCACAAGAAAACACGTGCGATTCATCATGTCAGGATACGTAAATTTCGCATACCAAGGCCACCAAATTCAGTTTAATAAGATACATATACCTCATCAAACAAGCCACTTAAAATTATCATACCAAGACACATGCTATTCATCGTCAACACACGTGCTGTTCATCACAACAAGACATGTCTAATTCATCATGGTTCAACTGTTGAAGTGGTGCCTGTACCATCCCATCAACACAAAATTGTATACATACTCTTTGTCGTGTCGTTCACAGATGAAAAATTCTTTCGTTTCACAATCGCCGTCATCCCATCCGAAATCACAGAACTTTCCAAGTCTCAGACAGTCTTCATTGGCATTTGCGTTATCCGGTTGATGTGGGCACCAGTGTGTGTATTTGGTAATTGGTTCCTCGGAGTAGGCCCATGTCCACTCCGTCTCCGTGGCAATATCAGTCCCATCCAGCCAATACATTACCCGGGCGGTGGAATCGTGTACTGATCATACAATAGTATTTATTTAAAAAGAAATAATGAAGTTGTGTCTAAATTGAAACATGGATACATTTTAACAGAAAGTAATAACAGGTATACAGGCATTACGATTAAACTCGCTACTTAACTTCCAGAGATTAAGTCGTGTGTTGAAACACTGCGTCAACAAAGTAAAGTAAAAGATAAGTGACATTCCAGTAAGACCACCTGATAGAACAGCCTCTATCTGAATTTAAAGATGAAACAATGCTTGCTACTGTCCGTTTGCTATTTTATGTATTTAATATGATTTTTTTTTTATATTTATTTCGTTCATGCTATAGAATACCAAGCTTGTTCAATAGTTGTAACTGTACTGGAAAACCACAAATCTTCGTGGTTTTTTATTATTCATGTCGTTGATTTCGTTGGTATTTTAACCCATGAAGCATATTTTCATGAGTAGGAACAAATACAGATTGACATGGATGTTTAGTACAAATGATCATGAATACTATTTATCGACGAATTTTAGTGTCAAACGGACAGTATTTTTGTTATTGACGTGGTTTTCATTTTGAGAACGTTATATTAATCCAACACTTATTTTGATATCCCAAACACTACTGTATCCAGAGATATCGGTCCTTGCAGCTATTTTTGTAAGAAAATGCAAGGAACGATAACTCTGGATTCATATGACTGGTTTTATGGATGTCGCTCACCTTTTTTGACATTCGGTCTTATCCTTATAAATTATCAATAAAACAAAAATGAATTTGTTTTTTTTTACTTAGATTTTCAGCTTTGATTTCATATCGGTATTTTGCACTTTGAAGATATTTTAAACGCATCAAAGTTTTTACTATTTTTCACACCTGTCGTGTGTACAATTATTTATCACATTATATTTAGCAGTAACAGGCTTTCTTTTGTATATTTCAGATGTGCTTTGGTTCTGTGGTTGCCTATCATTCGCTCTATACTATATAATAAAATCATTCGTTCTTTTTTTTTATTTTGCTGACTGTTGAATAATCTTTTCACTCCGAGCGTCAACTTTGAAATAGATCCTAGAAAGGTGTCAGATGACTCAATAGTTACATTATTTTCTTCTTCAACACCGTCAAAAATTTTGCTCTCACCAACTTTATTTGATTCTTATTTTGTGTCCGCCGTACTTTCCATTGCTCCCATCCCAACCGGAACCGTAAGTTTTATACTTTGCGACATAAATCTATGAATGATGTCCAACCAATATTAAGCGTGTGTACGAATGGGTGTATGTGTTGTGTGTATGTTGTGTGTGTGTGGTGTGAGTGTGTGTTCGAGGGGTGCGGTTAGCTAAAAGATAATACCATGAAGTTGATGCAGAGTGTTTCTGAGGAAAACGTCCTCCCTCTCTGATTGTATGGACGCTAGCTGCGAGTCCAGAGCTTCACAGTGAGCCTTCAACAGTAAAAACATATTTACAACTGTTGTCGAAAACGAGGTAAAATCATTGTATCATTATGAAATAGATAAAACACATTAACAAATAACCTGGCGAACGATTCACGTGGTGAAACACGTATTGCATTCTACCATCAGCCCGATAATTGTGAACAATTATGAACGAACCTTATGCGTTTGTTTTTCCCCCAAACAAATAAGAATGAACTTTGTTTTAGCAGAGCAACTCGTCAATAGGTTCATATACATGTATCTGTCTAACTATTGGCCCGTTCCCTATGCTTTAAACCAATCAAATGCATATAACTATATTATCTTTATAAACGTCATATTACAATTGTGTTGTTAGCTCTCTCTCTCTCTCTCTCTCTCTCTCTCTCTCTCTCTCTCTCTCTCTCTCTCTCTCTCTCTCTCTCTCTCTCTCTCTCTCTGATACATTTGTGACTTAAACATGTCATCTTGTATATTTGTTTGTACAATAGTTTTCAGGAAAGGGCTTAATATAAGTTGGCCAACTTGTGCCCAATCCCAATGTATATATTGATACAATAAAATATGTTTAAATAAAAAATGCATGGCTTACTATAAACCCTTTAATTTTCTTCGCGGTACTCAAATTAAAGCTGCAGACAAAAAGCGTATGACAACAATATATCCCATTACATCGCGGTCCCCCATTATAGAAAGGACAGTGCATTGTGGGATATCCCGTCTGTACTGTCAATATGCTGTGACGTGTTCTGTTTAGTAATGATTTATTTCACAATACTGTATTATCTTCCTGGCCCTTGTTGCTCAAAAGTTGAAATTGATCAATGGTTAGTGAAGAATTCAAATTGCTGCCACAGAACTGTTAAATGTAAAGTTTGCGCCTCAACAAACCCACAGCTGTGAAATGATACAAAATTTTTTTTTCCCACAAACGTTTGGTGATCTCTGACTAGTCTTTGAACAACCGGAGTCAGGTGTTTTGAGCTTCAGACAAAAATTTCTTTTAACAAAACAGAATTGCCTCTCGAGTTTTTAAAAGATAAAAACAAATATATGATAAAAAATATAATATATAGATAATATAACCTATTGCATTTGACACTGTTATTTCAAGGCCTATCTCGGTTACAAAGACCTTACAGACGCGTCCTGCCATGTTTCATGGATATCCACGAAGAAATAACAAGATGCATCGTGTCGTGTCCATCCATTGGGACAAGCCTCGCCAGATACTGGATCACAGAAAGAGAAGTGAAACAATCAATAATCACTGACAAGAAAAAAACAAACAAACAAACAAACAAACAAACAAACAAACAAACAAACACACGCACACACACGCTGCCCCCTCCACTCAAACACATTATAACAGGAAAGAAACTTATGACAAAAAAAGTTTACATTAATTCATAGAGCGATATCGGTCCAAAATTTCATCAAATTTGTTTAGATATCATATACTTATCTTATCGTTTGCCGATAAAATATCTGATAAGACACATGGTATCCCAATGAAGATATATCTTAAAAACACTATGAAATGTTGAAAATATGATATATCATCCTCAACCACGTGATAAAATATCTCTTAAACATGTTTATAATCTCCCGTTTCAACTTGTTACGATATCCTATACATGTATAATGTGTATCTTATGACGTATATCACGAGTTGTCCCTCTTTTACGTTACACCTAGTTAAATTGAACAAATTATCGATGCAATCTGATTGAAATAACATACCTTTGACTGTGTACAGTAGCACAAGCAGAACACTGTAGGTAAGTAGCGACATCTTTCTATATTATGTAACAATGTTCTGTTATCTGTACAATTACCACAGGTAATATATGCGCAAGGGTTGTCCGCTTTCGTGTGAAATTAACAGCCGGTTTCATTCTACGAAACACTGAACGATAAAGAAACCCAATGCGATAACCAAAATATTTATAGCATCAAGACATGTACCAAATAAATAGATCAACAAAATTTTAAAAGTAACTAAAAATAAATAAATAAATAAATAAATAAATCGTTTATCAAAAAATTTTTTTTCACTGTTTCGAAACAGAAATTCGTTGTAACGGTAAGACAAAGTAGTTATGATAGGCGTTACAAGAAAAATTCTATTATTTTAAGAAAATACATACGAGATAAGTTGTTATAAAAATGGTCGTTATTGCAAGAATAAATTCGGAAAAAAATCTTGTACAGTGTTTTATAAACGGATATTTTCAAGGCTATTTTGCCGACACAAACAGAGTGGTCCTACTCGACTTGTGTACTTTTCAGATCGAGTGTTCGGGAATACACAACGGTAGTACCATTACCGACATGTGAGACATAGATAAAGCTGTTACTGGCTGGAATTGTCCAGGTTGTTCAAAGGCTGGTTTGCGATATACAGTGACTTGTGAAAATGTTTAAACGTGGATTAATCAAAATTGGAACATTCGTTATCATTTCACATATTTAGATTTGTTGAGGCAGGTCAGATAAATATATCTTGATTGTCACTTTTGACTTCAGTACTCTTGTTCAGTTCAGTGACAGCTATTTTCCACTAACCACTAGTTACTTCTAACTAACCTTTGAACAACCGGGTTTGTGGTTATCCAAGGGGATGAAACCATATCAACATGGCTTAATGTCATCATAATTTCACTATACGATTGATATTTCAAACCTTAAAACGTAGAATCAACATATATAATTATTAGTATGGTGTACACTGTTTGTTACTGGATATATTTACGTAGAAACACTATCAGAAGAAAAAAAATTTAAAATATTTCGTTTCCCATGTCTCAAACTGATCTTCGGAATTTCACACTTTCCAAAGCTATTTCACAATGCCCCATCCCTCACCCCATGGTAATTGCACCGGGGACATATCTCACCAGCTAATGAGCGCCGGAAGGTCTTCAGCGATTCATGGCTATAACTGTATATTTATAGTTTCATTCTGCTGTACGACGGACTAAACGATCGGTCTCAAACCGTCCAGTGTGATGATTACGTACTGATACTGTTGCTTAGCATCCACTGACCGAAGACACTGCTGGTCTGACTCTGGGACATTTAATGTCGATGTGTATAGTCCAACCTCGTTATCTCGATTGACGGTACCACGAAAAACTTTCGAGATAACCGAGTACTTGATTTAAGTGAGTACGAATCTTTGTGTAAAGTCAGACGGGGACAAACGTTTTACGAATTCGACACAGTCTCGCGAGGACTTTACTACCGACTGACGAGCTATAATGATGATGATGATGATGATGATGATAGTTTCGCGACTCCATGACTCTTCCCGTTGCCGGGCGTTATCCAATCGACTCGAAATTTCGATATTTGAAGTAGAAATTTCGACTTATTAAGTCAAAATTTCGAATAAATAAGTAGAAATTTCGAGTTAGTAAGTCGAAATTCGACTGAATAAGCTTGCACATTATCCTTGTGGCGCGTGTCGACAAATATCGTCACATGAATGCACATAATACACATCAAAGGACAGAAATGAATGAAGTCATGACTCGGAGTCTTTGAAGGGTATCGTAGCATGTTAAGTGCGCGACAAAAAGATAAAAATAAAATGTGTTGCACTTTAAGATGTCACTATCCATGACACTTCTCTTAACTTTAATAAACTTATCCTTAAAAAAAAAATAAATAAAAATCGAGGATCTGAAATGACCGTAAATGACTGTACAGAAAGATCAGTTGTAATGACCAGGCATGTAGCAGCTTAGTGTTTTCAACATATAGATTTATAGATTCTTCACAGTGTTTCCAGCAAATATATGTCACAAATGTGGCGAATATTTCTTCATTTACTTATTTATTTATTTATTTATTTATTTATTGCGTATCAGACTCATTGATCGATTGATTTTACAAGATGTATTCGTTCGGTTAATACAGTATTTATCGGTTTATTCACTTGTTTGTGAAAATAACACTGTATTAATTTGATATTTCTTATCTTCATGGAAATTCGATTGAAATTATCTTCGTAAATGTCCTATCACGGACTTAGATATGGTCCAAGTATACCTCTATATATCTGAGTTCGTGTTATAAACCCACTTGCAATCCAATCCAATCCAATCCAATCCAAATCTCTTGTAAGTGATTCTTATTCAATTTTCACTCTCATTTCATAATTTTATTTTTAGATTAGGCCTTCGGATGCTGTATGATAAATATATTCCTCCTTTCACTGTAAATTATCGCATTTATGATAAAGTTATCGAAGTTCAAACAGAGACCACATGTAAATCGTATTATCTTCCACCTAAAACTACCCTATGCGGGTAAGGACTGGCGTACAAGTGACTACATAATCCATTGCTTTCTGAGTTACCCCCCTTCTCAGGAAGTTGACAATATTTTACCGCGAAAGAGAGGCCAGTGCTTTGCTTGATTGCAAGTTTAACTGACTAAAGAGGAATGTAATTTTGTTATGCTTGTCACATAACGTGCAAATTACAAGACTCATTATCTTAAACAGATACACGGGGTAATGCAATTTAAAACTTATGTAAATATTTGTTTGTCGTTCTAGAATTAGTAGCTCGCAGGTCACAGGGACCTCACACATGTACCAATGCATGCAAAGCTTTTTCGCCATGTCCCTGTGTCCTGCAGCTGTTGTGCATTCCAACACCCATAAGCCCCCGTGTCTGAATACGAAAATGTATTATTTGCGGGACTCTACACGGAGTTCAATTAGCAATAAAGTGAGCTAATGCAATGAAACATATATAGCGGCCAATATATTACGTAAACCTGAGAAAAATAGTCTGCAACATTACATGACGAAGCAAGGCAGTCCATTGCGCTGACAAATCTACAATTTATATATAGGAATATTCATTTTTATTGCTTAAGAATTATGGGTCACAAAATATAAACTTAATATTTCCAGAAATTCGTTGAGTCCCATCAAAACATATGAGTGCAGAGCTTGTTTAGGTTCTAACCTAACTGTCTATCATTCGTTAATAATAGCATAATGAACCTGCAATTTCATGGTGCAGTGTTGCTGTCCATATCACCGGTACTGTTGTAATATGAAGTAACCTGTCAATGTTATTTACATTCTCCGGAAAGTCACGATATTGCAAGGTATTGTTGTATTTTACAACTGCATGCACCCTATATTCAACAAAAACATTTTGGAAACTTTTTTTTTCATTATGAGCAATTTCGATATTTGAAGGCTTTTCTTAAGTTTTGAAGCTTAATTCCGGGAATCTGAGATTTTGGAAACATGAAATGATTGAGTTTTTTTTTTACAAATAACAAAAAATTTCATACACTTTGTTTATCTGCATGAGCTGTCATAAACCTTGTGTCTGAAAGAGGGTTATGTTTGTGATTTTAACAGATCCCTAACGTATACCTTGACTACAAAGACAAACATAGAAGAGCTGCTGTCATGAACAGATGATAGAAAAAACATGGATCAGACAACCTCAGCAAGGTAGGATAAATTTGGAAGGTAAAACCATGTCCAGCTATATATGATAAAATAATGTCTTTCTTTGCATAAGTATTTTTGTGAGTATTAGGGTGACCGTGTTAAAACTAACTTTCCACATAACAGTCCCAGTATGTGGTCAGATGACACAGTGGTAACACGGTCACCTTTCTCTATACTGTCCTACAGTGAGTGGTCGGTTGACACAATGGAAACACATTCACCTTTCTCTATACTGTCCCACAGTGACTGGTCTATTGACACAGTGGTAACACACTTACTTTTCTCTATACTGTCCTACAGTGAGTGGTCGGTTGACACAATGGAAACACATTCACCTTTCTCTATACTGTCCCACAGTGACTGGTCTATTGACACAGTGGTAACACACTTACTTTTCTCTATACTGTCCTACAGTGAGTGGTCTTTTGATACAGTGGTAACACAGTCACCTTTCTCTATACTGTCCCACAGTGAGTGGTCAGTTGACACAGTGGAAACACACTCACTTTTCAAAATATAGTCCTCAGTGAGTGGTCTGGTGCAAAGTGGTAACATATATATTTACTCACTTTTCACAATGCAGTCTCCCCATGAGTGATCAAGTGACACAATGGTAATAAGCTCACATTTTACTCTACAGTCTTTCCATGAGTAGTCATTTGACACAATTATAACACACTCACTTTTTACTATACAGTCTCCCCATGAGTGTTCGGGTGACGCATTAGTAACACACATTTCACTATATAATAGTACCATGAGTGATCGAGTGACACAGTTGTAACACACTCACTTTTCACCATATAATCTCCCAATGAATGAATAGGTGACACAGTTATAACACTCCCTCACTTTTTACTATACAGTCTCCCCATGAGTGATTGGCTGACACAGTGGTAACTCAAGATGACCTATAGCCATCGTGCTTCGTCCGTCGTCGTGCGCCGTCCGCCGTGCGTAAACTTTTCATTCAAACAACTTCTTCTCAAATACTAGAAGGTCTAGGGGGCTAATACTTGGCACAGATGATACTGGCATGGAGCTCTACCAAGTTTGTTCAAATGAATGACCTTGACCCACTTTAAAGGTCACAGGGGTCAAATATGTTAAAATCTTTAAACAACTTCTCATTAACCAAAAGGCTCAGAGTGTAGATATTGGGCCTGTGACATGCTGGGATGAAGTGCTACTAAGTTTGTTCAAGTGAATGACCTTGACCCACGTTCAAGGTCACAGGGGCCAAATATGTTAAAATCTTTAAACGACTTCTCCTCAATAACCAAAAGGCTCAGATTGCTGATATTGTGCCTGTGGCATGCTGGGATAAAGGGCTATCAAGTTTGTTCAAATGAATGACCTTGAACAACTTTCAAGGTCACAGGGGTCAAATATGTTAAAATCTTTAAATAACTTCTTCTCAAATACTAGAAGGCCTAGGGGGCTAATACTTGGCCCATAGCATGCTGGCATAGAGCCCTACAAAGTTTGTTCAAATGAATGACCTTGGCCCACTTTCAAGGTCACAGGGGTCAAATATGTTAAAATATACAAAGGACTTCATCTCAATAAGCAAAAGTCTATGAGTGCTGATATTGGGTCTGTAGCATGCTGGGAGGAAAGGCTACCAAGTTTATTCAAATGAATGACCTCGACCCACTTTCAAGGTCACAGGGGTCAAATATGTTAAAATATACAAACAACTTCTTCTCAACAAGCAAAAGTCCATGAGTGCTGATATTGGGCCTGTAAGATGCTTGGAGGAGAGGCTACCAAGTTTGTTCAAATGAATGACCTCAACCCACTTTCTAGGTTTGGCTTGCTTTTTGTCAGATGACTGTTAAGGCCCATGGGCCTCTTGTTCATTATACAGTCTCCCCATGAGTGGTTGCATTACACAGTAGTAACACACTCACATTTTACAATACGGTTCTCCCCCTCTCCTTGTTGGGATGTTGTTTTGTTGGGTATAGTTGGTGACACTTGATCTTCTTTTTTTAAATAAAGCTATGTACAAGATACCTCAATGGATTAGGTTATCTTGATAGAAAGATCCATAAGTATTTGTTTTTTACTGATATTGCATGACCAATGTATATGTACTTTGACAATTAACCAGACATGCCTCAGACATATGACAGTTACCTGAATGACCATGTGGATGTAATATTTAAGATTTCTGAAAAAATATCTTGGCTAAAATGAATGGTATTAACTTATTTATACTTCGTTTTGTCCGTTACACTGCAGAACGAGCTATTAAGTTTGTGAATATTTCCTGAACATTTTTGTCACTTTTTCCCAAAGCACAGAAAAAGCATTCTCGGCCCCCATCAGCTGTCAAGCTTATCACTTTACAATCAGACAAAGTGAAAACAAAGGGCATAACTCTGGAGATCAGAAGAGAAAAAGGAACACTTTTAATTAACAAAGTTTGTGTTAATGCAATTTTTAACTGTTACATGGAAGATATTTATGACAATGAAAAGTTTGACTTCTTATTCCTGTTTTAAATATTTTTTCATGAATATTGTTGTAAGAGGAACAAATGGTGAAATGTTAGACCAAAATTAAAAAAAAAGTATATATTTAGGCATGTGATAAGTGTCAACAATATATAAGTAGGGCACAGGCCTCTATTTAGCATGAGAGATGTCTGATGATGGTAATAATGATATACAAAGGTTAGATTACTTACCTAGACTGTAAATCTGTCTTCAAAAATATTGTTTCACTGTTCTCCATTGAGAATAAAGTGTACTGGGTAATGAATACTAAAAAAAATTAATCTGAAATGAATGAAATATATCTAAAAGCTCATCCAGTAATATCAAGAGGACAGAGTATATTTATGTGAGTATTTGCTTATTTTTGGATTTTCATCCAGGGCCTCTTCTCGAGCCCACAAAAGGAAGTCAAATGAAGAGGAAGATGAAGATGGTGGAAGTTTCCGAAAACAAATTCGAAAGTGTGAGCGTGCTGGATGTCCTAGCAAAGCCCCTATATGTTTTGCAGGTTCTTCTGAAAAGTAAGGAATTTCACAATGGTAACATTGAACAAATTAACATAAAGTTTCATGTATATACACTCAGACATCATTAATTTAAACTCGGCTAACTCAAAGACTGTTTAACTCCAACTATTTCTTCGTGATCAGATTTAATGCGTATGTTTGGAAAACTATGAAATGTGAGCCACACAAAAAATATTTAATTTTACTAATCATGGTTTATCTGGTTTGTGTGCACTGTGCAGATCTCTTGTCCTGGAAAAGTAGTTCTTCCATATTCACTGTTTGTCTAATTACTGTCTGGTTCCTGTAATATTTTTTTTGGTTTTTGACAGGTGTGCAGGTAATGGATACACATCTCGCTGGTATCATGTGTCTGCTGGTGAACATTTTTGTAATGAGTGTTTTGAACATTTTTACAGAAGGTATGTATATAATACAAACCAGTTACCTAGAACTTTACAATTGCCTAGAACTTTACAGTTACCTAGAACTTTACAATTACCTATATACCTAGAACTTTACAGTTACCTAGAACCTTACAGTTACCTAGAACTTTACAGTTACCTAGAACTTTACAGTTACCTAGAACTTTACTGTTACCTAGAACTTTACAGTTACCTAGAACCTAACAGTTACCTAGAACTTTACAATTACCTATATAGCTAGAACTTTACAGTAACCTAGAACTTTACAGTAACCTAGAACTTTACAGTTACCTATATACCTAGAACTTTACAGTTACCTAGAACCTTACAGTTACCTAGAACTTTACAGTTACCTAGAACTTTACAAATACCTATATAGCTAGAACTTTACAGTTACCTAGAACTTTACAATTACCTATATAGCTAGAACTTTACAGTTACCTAGAACTTTACAATTACCTATATAGCTAGAACTTTACAGTTACCTAGAACTTTACAGTTACCTATATAACTAGAACCTTACAGTCACCTAGAACTTCACAATTACCTAGAACTTTACAATTACCTATATAGCTAGAACTTTACAGTTACCTAGAACTTTACAGTTACCTAGAACTTTGCAGTCACCTAGAACTTTACAGTTACCTAGAGCTTTACAGTTACCTAGAACCTTACAGTTACCTATATACCTAGAACTTTACAGTTACCTAGAACTTTACAGCTACCTAGAACCTTACAGTTACCTATATACCTAGAACTTTACAGTTACCTAGAACTTTATAGTCACCTAGAACCTTACAGTTACCTAGAACTTTACAGTTACCTAGAACTTTACAGTTACCTAGAACCTTACAGTTACCTATATACCTAGAACTTTACAGTTACCTAGAACTTTACAGCTACCTAGAACCTTACAGTTACCTATATACCTAGAACTTTACCGTTACCTAGAACTTTACAATTACCTAGCAGTTACCTAGAACCTTACGGTTACCTAGAACCTTACAGTTACCTAGAACCTTACAGTTACCTAGAACTTTACAGTTACCTAGAACCTTACAGTTACCAAGAACTTTACAGCTACCTAGAATTTTACATTTACCTAGAACTTTACATAGCTAGAACTTTACAGTTGCTTTGAATTTTACTTTAAGAAGTATACAACATGGAGTGCTTGTTTATATAATTTTTTCTCAATATTGAATGCTGAATATGGAATTGAAACTAATTTCAATAAGATCCCATGAAGGCAGGGCAGAGGTTTGAATATATGTTACAGCATGTTAATATGTAGTGATGCAATATGTCAACAGCCCCATTCCAAGGGCCACTATCTAACGTTAACTGAGAGATGATAGATGTTGTACCTGTCACTTTCTCTTGTTTATAATCTGATCCAATATGATAATTATTTTTAGAATGTTTGTCTAATGAATTATGTTATTGCATGGTGGACAGTCACAAGAGTGGGTACGAGACTTACGCCACATGGAAACGTGTCTGGTGTAAATATGGACGTGGTGATTCCAATATTCACATCTTCATGTGCGACCAGATTTTACCTTACTGGGTACAATGTTCTATCTGTGCTAAGTGGAGACAACTTTCAAGAGATGCAACTCTGCTACCAGATTTTCTCCGCAACTATGTGTGTGGAATGACAGCCTCAGGTATAAAGGTGTGTTATCAGTATATACATAACACCAGTTAAAGAAATTTCTGTCGTTTCACATTTACTACAACCTACATGTAGCAGCGCTGTGATTGGCTTTGTTTCTATTTTAGCTTCATCACTTCAGAGCATCAGAAACATAGAGTGAGAATCTTTTTATTCAGTCTAATTTAAAGTTTGCAATAGAATCTAATATGTGTGATAAAGAGAATCATGCATTTCTATTTTTAATGAGATTTATAAAACTTTTCATTAATTTTTAGCACACCATTATCAGATGATGTTCTATTCAATTAACTTTTTGTCCATGATCTGTGTATCTGTAAGAGTCTGTTAGGGTCCGTCAAATTTTGTTATCACTATACTCAACAGGTACTTGATGCATCATTCCTGAACTCTATGTTACATTTCTCCTTGGTCCCAAGTTTTGCCCTTTTGTGTTTTAGACTTATCAGAAAAAACAAAAAGGCCAACAGGTTGCCATATTGTCTTTATTGAAAATAGAATTTTGCAGTTGTTAACACATTCTCATATTTCAAATTAAAATTCCCTATTTGTTCATATTTCATTTTTGGACTGATCAAAAGAATCCAGATGGCTTACAGGTGGCCATCTTGGATTTTGTCGTTCTATATTGTTATTGCTATTTTATTGGACACACTGGATTGATCAGTCTCAATTTTGATATTTCTGTTGCAGTTTGGCCTCAGATATTTAGGGAAAGAAAGAAAACAATCCAATTTATAAAGAAGTAATTACTAAGATTATACTGTAGTGAATGCCATCACCTGTGCAGTATTTCCTGTTTGAATAAATTATATCTTTTTTTAAAACTTGTAGAAGATGTGCCAAGAAGATGCATGCAGTTACCCAGAAGATCAGGTAAATTTCCACATTGTCTATTAGGAGCATCCAAGAGTATGTGAGAGGTAGGATGAACTGTGTTTCAGTTGCCAAACTTGATTGATTCAAGGTCAGAATGACAAAGTATTGTGTTTGGAACATTATATGTTTTTTTTTAAGAGATGGCACTATCAGCTAGAGATGGTCATACAGAGTGTAGTGATATATATCAGGCCTATAATGAACATTACAACAAAAACAATGTTTTAATCCTATGTTTTAGCGGGTTGAACTGACGCGAGACGTTACTTGGGTTACTTTGGTTCGCTGTCTATCCTACATGAAGAGCTCCCCAGCCTGGCCTTTCCTTACCTCTTACATACCAAATGGAGTTGGTATGAGTCCCACTGACACTGAAGTCTTCCAGGAAACCAAGCCGCCTGGTAATACCATTTTTTGGATGGTTCATAGTAAGACACAGCAAAAACAGGATACACCAAAAGACGACTGATTTAATTCTATAGTGGTGCAGTAGAGTAGAGGAAGGACCCAATGGGAAAAATCTATCAATTTCTTCAAAATCTGTCTTGTTCTTTAGGAATTGCAGGATTTGTCCAGATTTGGTCTGAAGCATGCTTGGGTGAAGAAAATCAGTTTTTTTTTTTATAAAAATGTGGATCTCAGTCCCAGAGGCTGAAGGGGTAGGGCCCAATAGGGAAAATCTATCAATTCTTTAAAATCTGTCTTGTTCTTATATAGGAATGCTTGGACCATCAATTTTGTATGAACGGTGCATTTCACCCAATTAGGACCAGAGGGCTAGGGCCAAATAGTGGACACAGAGCAGATTCATTAAAATCTCTATTACGTTGAAATTGAAGATATTCTTGGTGAAGGGAACTTAGTTATTTACAAGCAGCTGCATCTTAACCCCATTTTAGGGGAGGGTCAAGCCTAGTACAGGGAAGTAGATACAAGTGTATTAAACACTCTTTCCTTAATTGAAATAGATCAATTTCAGCAAACTATATCAGGTTAGCGATACAGGCCCTATGGGCCTCTTGTTTTCATTTATACATTGTATTGGTATATCAGAGTCTCCAGATACTATTGATTGGCTTTGTCAGGTGAAGATTTGACAATATTTGAGGTTTTTTTAAATGCTGAGTATTTTGAGAAGTGTTTCTGTTTGTACAGTGATGCTGCCCTATTTGAATCCCTTCACTGATGCTGAAAGCACAACAGACATGGCTTGTCGAGTTCCAGCTGATACGTTAGAGGAATCAGAACTAGATGAATTTGTAGAATTCTCTCAAACTCCCACCATCTTCTTAGCCATCAGAAACATTTGTGTTACACTTTGGAATTTAAATATAAAAGTAAGTAGATATTTCAATTTACTGGGATACTAAGATAGAGCTGTCCTTTAAGGAAGAGTTAGGTCAGTTCCTTGTATCCCTGGTTTGGATACCAGTATGCAGGGAGATTGAGAGCACAGGGCCAACAGAGCAAGAGCTGTAGATCTACGAGATGCCTAAACTTTGAATACATTTGAATCTAGGTTTTTCCTATTTTGTTGTCCTAATGAAGCCCAAAAGTTAGTATGAAACCAGTCAACATTCCAATAATTAAAAAGAAATATGTATGCTAGGCTTTGTGATTGCTCTTTATTTCTTTAAATTTACTTTTGATATACAAACTAACAAATACTTTTTTAATAAAATTTCACATCTTACTCTTCACTGTTGTATTAATTATTAAGACATGTTTTGTTTGTTGTCAAAACTTCCATGAAAAGCTCGGTTGGTGGAGCATTGGCCTATGTGAAACTTCAGGTAAAAATCTGCAGTATGTGGGTCAGTGTTTACCATCTTAGGCAGTGTGTATATCTCAGTGATGTCATGGTTGTGTTGTAGGGTCAGTCATTGTACACAAAATGTTCTGGATTGCAAGTGAAAAAAAATTCATTTGTAATCACAGCTTAATGTAAGCATTTCAATTTTTTTCAAATTCAAAATAAAAATAAACGAAAAGGATTGGCATAGTCTTACACGTTGTGTTACAGGACTGACTGGCATCATCTTACACATTGTGTTACAGGACTGACTGACATTGTCTTACACTTTGTGTTACAGGGATGACTGGCATCATCTTACACTTTGTGTTACAGGACTGACTGGCATTGTCTTACACTTTGTGTTACAGGACTGACTGGCATTGTCTTACACTTTGTGTTACAGGACTGACTGGCATAGTCTTACACTTTGTGTTACAGGACTGACTTGCATTGTCTTACACTTTGTGTTACAGGACTGACTGGCATTGTCTTACACTTTGTGTTACAGGACTGACTGGCATTGTCTTACACTTTGTGTTACAGGGATGACTGGCATCGTCTTACACTTTGTGTTACAGGACTGACTGGCATTGTCTTATACTTTGTGTTACAGGGATGACTGGTATCATCTTACACTTTGTGTTACAGGACTGACTGGCATCATCTTACACTTTGTGTTACAGGACTGACTGGCATCATCTTACACTTTGTGTTACAGGACTGACTGGCATCATCTTACACTTTGTGTTACAGGACTGACTGGCATCATCTTACACTTTGTGTTACAGGACTGACTGGCATCATCTTACACTTTGTGTTACAGGGATGACTGGCATCGTCTTACACTTTGTGTTACAGGACTGACTGGTATCGTCTTACACTTTGTGTTACAGGGATGACTGGCATCGTCTTACACTTTGTGTTACAGGACTGACTGGCATCGTCTTACACTTTGTGTTACAGGACTGACTGACATTGTCTTACACTTTGTGTTACAGGACTGACTGGCATCGTCTTACACTTTGTGTTACAGGACTGACTGGCATCATCTTACACTTTGTGTTACAGGGATGACTGGCATAGTCTTACACTTTGTGTTACAGGGATGACTGGCATTGTTTAGGATACCATGGAGTCTGTTATCCATCTGCCCACTGTCAACTTTTACTATTTATTGCATCTTTTCATGAATGACCTAGGAGATTTGAATCAAATTTGGTCTGAAACATCCTTGTGGAAAGAAAAAACAATTTTGTATCAGTGATGGGTCTGGCCCCTTTCCTCCAGGGAAAATATAGGGAAAGTCAATTAATTTCTTTTAGAATCTATCATTAATTCACTTGGATCTTTGGTTCTTTGAAACAGTTTTGATCCCCATGGAATAACTATAGCATTGTTGATCATCAGGAGATTAACTGATTTCTGTCCCCACATGTAGGGAATTTGAAGGTGTATCTGTGGGATGAGGCTCATCAGGGGAAATATTTAACTTCTAAAGAAATGTAAAGTTTTCCTTTATTGACTTAAATCTCTAGGTGAGCAATACAGGCCCTCTGGGCCTCTTGTTTTACATTTTGTTTTACAGGACTTACTGGCATCATTTGGCACTTTGTGTTACAGGGCTGACTAGTATTGTTTTTAATTTGTTTTACACTCTGTTTCAGGAATGGCTGACAAAAGAGAAAGCTGCCCCGTATGTGATATGTCGCGGTGTAAATAGAATTTATTGTGTAGAAAATCTCAACAAAATCTTGTGGTTTCTAACAAGAAAAGGACTTATTAACTTCGGTCTAGTCTCCGTGCCAACGGGAGTTCAATTACCTTGTATGCAAACCTTACCTAAGGTAAGAAAGCAGCTCAAGTACTGTGTTAGTTTTGTGAAAGAAATCATACACATTAACCATTTAATTAATTGTTAGTCTCACAGTGTAGTATAAATTTGTTTACATTGTAAACAGTTTATAATCATAACATTGTTTAACATTTATTAATGTCGAATAATAGTTAAAAATATGTGGAAATGTTGTTGAATTGTAATTGAAGGTTGATAAAGTGTAGACATTTTTGATACATGTAACTATATACACTATACATGTATACAGTATGGTAACTACAATGGACTCTATATAATATGGACGCTGATGGTCTGGAAAACTCGGAAATGTTTGGGAATGGATTTCTGTAATGTTATTTGTACTCGTCAATTTGGAAATTTGAATTTCGGTCTCAGGAAAATGTTTTGGGAACAGATAAGTCCTTTTCTTAGTAATATTCCCCCAATAGTCGGGGAAGTTTTATTGGAGAGTGCTGTTTGACTTGTTCACTCGTGTCGCAGGTGTACACCGGCCAGTTGATTGCTTGACATGATGCGTAATCATAACGACTGCTGCCAGATCATCACCTGTGTAGGTCATGTCAGTTTTATATAGTGTTTGTTATAGCAGTACATTTGTAACTCTGGAATACATTGCCAAATAAATACATCGGAAAGAGTAGTCTTGTTTTGAAGCTTTTGAAAATTAACTCGATATCTATAAATTACAACGTAGATTTTATGTACGTAAACATTTTTGGCCTGTATTTCGCATACTATAATGATGAATTAGTCAGGAAATAAAGGATACTTGTAAGGAATGATACCCAGTACATGGTCTATCAGATTTATAGATGTTAAACATAGTTAGCACAGCATTGGAAATATCCTTGTTATCAGTAATATACCTTGATTTTGAAAGGAGAAAAAAAAAGTAATATTATGTGAAAAATGACATTTAGCACAGATTGTTGGTAAGTTGTTCCTTGTTAAGAAATGAGTAATGATAGTGCTGGACTGAATGTAGTGCTGGTTTATTTTCCCACTTTTTACCATAATTTCACAGGGACATTGGTAAGTTGTACAGTTGTGGGTGCTGGTCACATGGTGGTTGTAACCAACTTACCTGGCTCTGAAAATAGTACAGATTCAGATAATAACAGATTCTGAAATTCATCAGGAAATTTGCCTCAGAAATGTAGCTGCTTTAGATGTAAATACATAATTCAGTGCATCTTGTTTTCAGAAAGATTACTTTGTCAAATATTTTGAGTAAATATCATTAATGTTTCAAGCAGATGTTTGAGAATCGTCTGTGAAAGTAGACTTCAGTAAATTAACAATTAATTTTATTTCTTTAACTTTACACAATACATATATTGTAATTAAAAATACACATTAACAACACATTAATAAACACCTGTATTTGCTGTAAATACTGTGTGTAGAACATGAGTACTCTTGAGAATTATTTGCAGTGTACTGTACATTATAGTACAATGGGAAGTAACTTAATTCATCTTGGCAAGTTGACTGAATTTGTCAGTCCAGAAAACGGCACAACTGTGGCCAGGAATGGTGTCCAGATTATTTAGGGTTCACTGTATTTACAATAGAAATGGCTTTACCACACCAAAGTTCTGATATAGTGTTGTATGTAGCTCGGGCAAAAGCCTGGGCAACCGGTTGTCCCACCAGTGGAGAACCCTCAAACTCTCCCCTCCATCTCTCCACCTGTCCGTAGATGTTAAAAGTAAATACTGATTAGTTTAATGTGGCATAACATGGTAAAGCACTGTAATGTGTACCAGGAACATTTCAGTCATAAATGTCTCTAGATACATGTACATGTTAGGACACTTTGGCCTATAATACTAAAGATGTATTTGACAGAGCTCTGTAGCCATGTTGTAAGCCAGTTAACTGCTATAGAGCCATATGGTCTTAATTTCTAATGTACTGATAAGAAATATATTCATGAACTTTTTCAAATGAATCAATTTCTTAAAAAAAAGACATAATAATGGCTCAATTATCCTGATATCACTGCTTTGTGACACAGTCGTCAAGTCATTCTGTGTATTTTCTGTGTAACAGAACTCATCTGTGATAATTATTGGAGCTGGGGCAGCTGGCCTGTCTGCTGCTCGCCAACTCAGAAACTTCGGAATCAAAGTAAGTGTCCTGAAGAAGTGTGTGTTGTGTTGTCTCCAGATTTAGTATGCAGTGTTTCATCCGTAGGTAAAGTGTGTTTGGCTGTCAGATAAATTGTGTGTTGTATGGCTGTAAGATAAATTGTGTGGTGTTTGGCTGTCAGATAAATTGTGTGGTGTTTGGCTGTCAGATAAATTGTGTGGTGTTTGGCTGTCAGATAAATTGTGTGGTGTTTGGCTGTCAGATAAATTGTGTGGTGTTTGGCTGTAAGATAAATTGTGTGGTGTTTGGCTGTCAGATAAATTGTGTGGTGTTTGGCTGTCAGATAAATTGTGTGTTGTATGGCTGTCAGATAAATTGTGTGGTGTTTGGCTGTCAGATAAATTGTGTGGTGTTTGGCTGTCAGATAAATTGTGTGTTGTATGGATGTCAGATAAATTGTGTGGTGTTTGGCTGTCAGATAAATTGTAGTGTTTGGCTGTCAGATAAATTGTGTGGTGTTTGACTGTCAGATAAATTGTGTGGTGTATGGCTGTCAGATAAATTGTGTGGTGTTTGACTGTCAGATAAATTGTGTGGTGTTTGGCTGTCAGATAAATTGTGTGGTGTTTGGCTGTCAGATAAGTTGTGTGGTGTTTGGCTGTCAGATAAATTGTGTGGTGTTTGACTGTCAGATAAATTGTGTGGTGTTTGACTGTCAGATAAATTGTGTGGTGTTTGGCTGTCAGATAAATTGTGTGGTGTTTGGCTGTCAGATAAATTGTGTGGTGTTTGGCTGTAAGATAAATTGTGTGGTGTTTGGCTGTAAGATAAATTGTGTGTTGTATGGCTGTAAGATAAATTGTGTGGTGTTTGGCTGTCAGATAAATTGTGTGGTGTTTGGCTGTCAGATAAATTGTGTGGTGTTTGGCTGTCAGATAAATTGTGTGGTGTTTGGCTGTCAGATAAATTGTGTGGTGTTTGGCTGTCAGATAAATTGTGTGGTTTTTGGCTGTCAGATAAATTGTGTGGTGTTTGGCTGTCAGATAAATTGTGTGGTGTTTGGCTGTCAGATAAATTGTGTGGTGTTTGGCTGTAAGATAAATTGTGTGTTGTATGGCTGTAAGATAAATTGTGTGGTGTTTGGCTGTCAGATAAATTGTGTGGTGTTTGGCTGTCAGATAAATTGTGTGGTGTTTGGCTGTCAGATAAATTTTGTGGTGTTTGGCTGTCAGATAAATTGTGTGGTGTTTGGCTGTCAGATAAATTGTGTGGTTTTTGGCTGTCAGATAAATTGTGTGGTGTTTGGCTGTCAGATAAATTGTGTGGTGTTTGACTGTCAGATAAATTGTGTGGTGTTTGGCTGTCAGATAAATTGTGTGGTGTTTGGCTGTCAGATAAATTGTGTGGTGTTTGACTGTCAGATAAATTGTGTGGTGTTTGACTCTCAGTTTCTGTATTGGATGAATTGAATTTGAATTTATTTGTTTCCTTTAATTGAATGCATGATGAATTGAATGCCTTTCTTTTTAAAAGGATTTAACTATAATGTTATATAAATTTGTTTTCAGGTGACAGTATTAGAGGCCCGGGACCGATTGGGTGGTCGCATATGTGACGATCACACATTAGGAAGCTGTGTAGGTCGAGGAGCTCAGGTGGTTGCTGGTTGTATCTGTAATCCAATCACAGTCATGTGTCATCAGGTAGGTCAAGGGTCATAATATATGGATCACTGGTAAGGTCTGGGTTCTGCAGGTAAAAAATGAAGGTTAAATATCAAAAGGTCAAGATAGGGTCAATAAGTTGGTTGCAGGTTATGAGGTAGGTCATGCGACAGTTAACAGTTATGGTGACATGTAGTAATATTGGGCGGACAGTATTGGGTAACATTGACACTGGTCATTAAATTTGTCTGGTTTTTTGCAGGCTGGCCTAGGTATGAAGGAAATAGGGGATGGTTGTGACATTATAAGTGAGGCTGGACAAACAATAGCAAATGAAATTGACCGAAGGATGGACTTTCATTTTAATGCACTCCTGGACATAATTGCAGAATGGCGGAGAAACAAGGAGACTGACCAGGATATTAATCTATTAGGTAAGATAGATATGGACAGCTGTGTGTGAGGTAACCTATATATAGACAGCTGTGTATGAGGTGACATACATTTTGAATGAACAGCTGTGAATGAGGTAACATATATATAGACGTCTGTGAATGAGGTAACATATATATAGACGTCTGTGAATGAGGTAACATATATATATAGACGTCTGTGAATGAGGTAACATATATATAGACAGCTGTGAATGTGGTAACTAAATATTGACAGCTTTGAATGAGGTAACTTAATATGGACAGCTGTGAATGAGGTAACTGAATATGGACAGCTGTGAATGAGGTAACTGAATATGGACAGCTGTGAATGTGGTAACATACATATGGGCAGTTGTGAATGAGGTACAAATGTAAATTACATTTTACATAGGGACATTTGTGTATGAGATAGCATAATATGAACAGCTTTGTATGAAGTAACTTGAATATGCTCAGCAGTGTTTACAAAATGACATCTTGGATTGTGTTTCTGGAAACGAGATTGTTTGAGAGTTTAATTTAATGAACCAATTAATTGAATTAAATTTTCTGAGCTAATTAGATTTTTTATTTTTGTTCCAAAGACAAAGTCAAGGAGATGCATCAGCAGTTTAAAGAGGAATCTCAGCTCACTTTTACACAGGTAAATAACTTCACCTAGGATGAATACAACATAGTCTCAGCTCACTTTTACAGAAGTAAATAACATCACCTGGAGTGAAAACAGAATAGTCTCAGCTCACTTTTACACAGGTCAATAACTTCACCTGGTATGAATACAACATAGTCTCAGGTCACTTTTACACAGGTAAATAACTTAAACTTGAACACTATATACAGACCTTCTTATGGATTGTGTATTTTTTACATACGTTCTCTCACCTGCCTGAAGTAAGTTTATGCCATTATGCGGAATCAGTTGTCTGTCATGTATCAGCTTTTTCCTTTAAAATGTCTTTTTCCTAATAACCAAGAAGATGTTGGCATGTTGGTCTTGATTTTTGGAACAGTAGGATGCTGGAAGGAAAGGCTATGATGTATTTTCAAGTGTTCTGCTTTCAAGTCCACTGGAGTCATATGTGTTACAGTCTTCGGTAAATCAGCATCTGACTCTAGGTTAACTGATAAACTGTTGTGAAGGTGAGTTGATGTCCTACTTTCAGGAGGAGGAAAACTTGCTGAACTTCCACATTGGGAACCTGGAGTATGCTTGTGGGTCAAGTTTGCAGCATGTATCAGCTCTCAGCTGGGATCAGAATGAAGACTATCCACAGTTTTCTGGACCCAATCTTTTACTCACTCAGGGATACTCAGCACTGTTACACAAACTGGCTGATGGTTCAGAGATTGTTTATGATACAGTGGTGAGTATGGGGGCATTTATCACCATATGGTATTGCTTGTGTATTACCAGCTCATGAACTGCCAACAGCATAGAAATAATGTAAATATTGTAAGTAAAACAAAGAAAAAAAATGGGGTTGCCTCCCCTTATAAGAAGATTACAATAACAAATGTAAGTATTTAACAGCTTTTAGTTGACAACACAGGGCATTCTGAATATAGACCAATCCACCATAAAAAGCATGCACCATTTAAATTGTCTTTAACCATTTTGCATTCACATATCCAATGAATGCAAACTGAAATCTGTTCAATGCTTAAATAAGAGGTGTGTTCTGTATTGATCCTGTCTATATAAACAGATTTATCTATTTCTAGGTATCTGAGGTAGACTACAGCAATAAAAAGGTTTCTGTCCGGTCCAAATCGGGGAGAATTTGGGAGGCAGACAAGGTAAACACTGGTGGTCAAATTATTGGGGAATTACCCTTCAATTGTGTCTTCACAATAGAATTATTTAGTAATGTCACTGTTTAGCTGACAGAGTATTTCTCTCATCAAGCCTGAAAGAGCATCTGAAAAATGTCCTGAAGGGCAGCATGTTTCAGCTCTCAGCATCCTCTCAAACAACTTATTCCTCAGAGCCTGTTGATGCTGTGTTCTGTTATTTTGCAGATAATTTCCTGGGATGAAGCACTATTTTAATATCACTGAGTCTGTCTCAGGGGTCAAAATAAGTGGAAAAAAAAATAAAAATCTAAACAGAAAGGAATCAACTAAAAACATCTATTTTCAATAGGATTGGGGTCATTTTTATAGATTCAAACAACAACTACTGAAAGAAAGATATTTAAAATCCTGATATCTGACCATTTAGTGGGGGTTTTGAGTATAAAATATTTAAATACATTTATAATTAAAAAATTCTTTGAGCTGTGTTCCAGATGAAAAAGTCTAAAGTAATTTTGTATTCCTTTTATTTGTGATGAGCTTGACTGCAGCTTCATGAATCCCATGATTGAATTAATAAAATTGTTCAGAAAATAAAGTTTTAGTTTAGTCCGTTTTAGGTAAACATGACTTGTTTAAAATATGTGAACGTTATTAATTGTGAAATTGTTTATTGCAATGTTTAGGTGCTGGTGACGATACCACTGGCCCTTCTGAAGGACGAAACCTTAGTATTCAATCCAAAGCTCTCAGGCAAGAAAAAACAAGCAGTTGATGACCTCGGCATTGGATATGTAGAGAAAGTCATTCTGCAATTCAACCGGAAGTTTTGGAAAGATCATGGATCTGATGTATTTGGTCATGTGACACTTAGATCTTCTAGTGCGGGGATGTTCAATGTATTTTATGATATATCACGCTCTGATGTAAGTATAACTGATTTTTACTGATGACCAGTTTGTCCAGTGAGCTGTAATGACCTTTGTGTATTGACCTTCAGCTTAATTTTATATTGCTTTTAATGACTACTGTAAACATACATATTATTTGAGCGGTAATCTTATTTTGGCGCTGAAGATATTGTTCTGTATTGTATTATCTGTTTATTGTTAATATACAAATTGCTTAAAATTCATTTTTCCAAAAACTGATAATGCACTCTAAATTGATCTTACCAAATTAAGTATGTTTACCATTTAAATATTGTGATTTATTCATAATGTATTTTTTTACCTCTGATATTTCTTAACATTGTTTCTTGATGTTTAGATTGAAAGTCAATTATATATACTGATACTGAAAACTTAATTGACCTTTTACCTTTGGTGACCTATATATGTATTTACATATAATTGATGACCAATTTGACTTTTGACCTTTGGTGACCAATTTAGTCTTATGGTAGTGTCAGATGACCTTTGATAAAATTTTACCATGCTATAAAATTTGTGATTTAAAAGTATGTCACATTGATATGCATTGATAAACAATTTACCAGTGACCTTTGTTGACCTTGATAATACTTTTTTAAGCAAATTTCAAAGCTGTGCATGATATGTGTCTTCCTTATAGTGAAGGGCAATGCAAGAATGTCCTGGTCCATTGACCTACATGCTCAAGGCCATCAACCTTTTAGTGATTTGTCAGTCATCAAGTACTTTCCTTTTTGCGAAAACTTTTTCTCTAAAAACCTTCTTCTCTTTCATACCTGGATGGATTTCAACCAAATTTGATCTGATGCATCATTGGGTGTGAAGGTAATCATTTGTTAAATTCAGAATTTTGATTACACCCCTAGGGGTTGAGGGATGAGTCCCCAAAGGGGAAGTGCTGAAATTAGATTTACAACCCTGCTCCTCCTTTCTGCCTGTGTAGATTTCAACAAGTTTTGGTCTGATTCATCAGTTAGGGTAGGCAATTACTTCTGAAATTTAGAGATTTGATTTGACCCCTGTGGACTTTGGGGCAGGGCCCCAAAAGGAGAAATTAGTCAATATTTTGCATTAAAACAATAGTCCTTTTTAATGCTTGAATGGATTTCAACCAAATTTGGTCTAAAACATCACCGAGTGCAGGGAAGCATTTCTTTTAAGGTGTAGAGTAGTTGAGCAGTTTATTTTAGACCAATTTTGCCTTTTTCATAGATAGGTCTTAATAGTCAGATGATCGTGCAGGCCCATGGGCCTCTTGTTTTTCCATGTCCCCCGAAATAAGCAGTCATGTGAATGTTTAGGGCTAAGGCCACTTGTATTACAACATTTCCTGTGAGAGCCATATGTGAACATTATTTGAATTATTTGTGAGGTTTTGTATGTAACAGGAAAATTGTGGACGTTTCATCCTGACAACACACATCTCCGGTGACTCAGTTTGTCACTTGCGGGAGAAATCAGACAAAGATGTGGTGGCCATGTGTATGTCAACACTGAGAACCATGTTCCCTACTGAGGTAAGAACAACACATCATAATGATAGGCACAGTAAAGTGCAATATTTTTCTCTGAACAGTCTCTTCTAAAGTGAAAAGTTTGATTTTCAAACTTTGTATAACTTCTATGTTTCAATATGTATTTATTTCACTGATATCTAGATGTGTTGTCCTATTTTTAGGAAGTACCTGACCCAATTAAGTTTATAGTGACCCATTGGCATGCTGATCCATTTTCCAAAATGGCTTACAGCTTCATACCGACAGGAAGTAGTGGGGATGATTACGATTTGCTGGCACAGGAAGTCATGGATAAGGTCTATTTTGCAGGGGAGGTAAGTCATGGATGGGTCATTCTATATTATACAAAATGAAAAGAAAACATGAAAATCAAGGCCACAGTTTTAGGGGCCCTAGACTCCAAGGCCTCCTCTAGGATTATTCCTGCTTATGGTAATTTTCTCTTCTTGTACAATTAAGCCATCTTGAATTTTGCCTAGTAAAGATTGTTATTGCTATTTCTTAAGAAGTACTGTGAGGATATCTCTCAAGTTCATATTTATGTTCTCTTCGGTCTCTCCTTGTGTGCATTTGATTCTGGGACTGATCAGAAGAAACAAAATGGCTTCCTGGTGGCCATTTTGGATTTGGCAGTAAAGATTATCATCACTATTTCTGCAACTAAAGTATCAACTTTCACAGAGCATATAAAGATCAATCAGTGGTGGGCGCCAAGATCCCTCTGGGATCTCTTGTTATAGATGACAATAACATTTTAATAATCACTAGTGACCCAAAGTTAACGTTTCCATGCACTTTCAATTTCCGACGTGGCATGAGTAGGAAATAAATTAATTGTAACTTCAAATTCATGTATATTGGCCGAATTTTCAAAATCTAATATTGTGTCAATAGAACAGATTTGTACATATGTATAAGTACATGTTTACAGCTGCAGACGTTTACAAATTTTATGTGAGAAGAAATATCTCCAGTTTACACATTTGGTATTGATATATAACTGATTGTAATCGCTTCAATTGTCAAGATGTTTGTATATCAACATGTGTAACGAACTGCATTTTGAATATGATTAACTAGTTTTCTACAATTCTTATTTCAGTTTTATACAAATTATCTTATCATTTCTTACTATACAATCATATTATTCAAATTTTATACATTTACGTGTACTAGATTACAAGTACGATCTCTGCCTTTTCAATAGTAAATTAACCAGGTATGTTTTGTGTCGGTTCATTCATTGTGATATACATATTTATCCTGCAACCGCTTCGTGTATCAGCCGATAACTACTGCCAGATAAACCAGTACCTTTATCCGTCAGTACAAAGAGCTTTATCCGTCAATACGATTCACGTGAAGTTGTTCCGATTTTCACCGGACTATTTTCAAGTTGACCTGAACTTTGACCTATTGTGTCATGCTAACGTAAACAAACCTGAGTAATGCCTATATTTCGTATTTGTCAAATACGATCCATGTGTTTGGTTTTACAAATAAACAAATTATGTGAGACTATGATGAAATTCAGCATGTTTAAGAGAGTCTTTGGTTTTAATACGTGTGTAATTTTTGGTTTTAATTGTAACTTCAAAGGTGAGCCATCTCAATCTTTTCGTTCCGAGTCAAAAATAAACCTTGTATTGTACGATACTGACCATGTATTCTCTATGTAGGTTGGGAAAAATAATTTTCCACCAAGTTTTGATAACAGCTGCCTTGAGCTTTGTAGAAAGTACAATTAAGGTAAAAAGTCCTGATCATTACCCAACGCCCACCCCCACCACTTAATCCTATCCCTTCGCATCCCCATCCCCCTCCATTCCCACATTTTTAAAACAATGTTTAAGCACCGAGTGATCTTCCCGTGACATCGCCCAGGAAAAGAAGGCAGTCTAAAAATCGTGAACGCTCGCCATCGCTGAGGTGGTTTTAATCCCATCCACTGGCCGGTCACTCTGGCAGGGTTTGAATGGCAAATCACCTCAACTGTACTGTATGTTATTAACTATTATCAGATTTTTCTATCAAAGTCTCCTTTAAAGGTATTCTAACAGTACTTTTTTTAACGATTATTTCAGGCCACAAACAGAAAATATCCTCAATCCGTGACGGGAGCATTTCTCAGTGGTATTCGCGAGGCTGAGAAGATCTACAACTCACTGACCACTGTAAATTCATGATGGAGCTGCCACTGACAAGTTTATCCTACAGAGGAAGTATCAGTAATTAGTGAGAGGAACATTTCTCAGTGGTATTGGTCAGACTGAGAAGCTCTACAACTCACTGGCCACTGTAAATATGCGATGTATCATGTCTGTAGTTAGTGACAGGAGTATTCCTCAGCAATATCCACGAGGCAAAGAAAATCTACAGGTCTTCTGCCACTGTAAACATCTGATGTACCTACTACAGACTCTCTCTGGAGGTGCAAAGTATTGATCTATCCATTGATCCGCTTATCCGACAGTATACTTTGGGTATATATTACTCCATTAAATATGAACCAGTTTATACAGATTAGACCCACAAATATATTTAATGATGAATCAATGATTGACATGAATGTATGTTATCTCTGTATAATTGACATGAATGAATGTTATCTCTGTATAATTGACATGAGTGAATGTTATCTCTGTATAATTGACATGAATGTTATCTCTGTATAATTGACATGAATGTTATCTCTGTATAATTGACATGAATTAATGTTATCTCTGTATAATTGACATGAATGTATGTTATCTCTGTATAATTGACATGAATGTTATCTCTGTATAATTGACATGAATGAATGTTATCTGTGTATAATTGACATGAATGAATGTTATCTCTATAATTGACATGAGTGAATGTTATCTCTGTATAATTGACATGTATGTTATCTCTGTATAATTGACATGAGTGAATGTTATCTCTGTATAATTGACATGAATTAATGTTATCTCTGTATAATTGACATGAATGTTATCTCTGTATAATTGACATGAATGAAAGTTATCTCTGTATAATTGACATGAATGAATGTTATCTCTGTATAATTGACATGAATGAATGTTATCTCTGTATAATTGACATGAATGTTATCTCTGTATAATTGACATGAATTAATGTTATCTCTGTATAATTGACATGAATGAAAGTTATCTCTGTATAATTGACATGAATGTTATCTCTGTATAATTGACATGAATGTTATCTGTGTATAATTGACATGAATGAATGTTATCTCTGTATAATTGACATGAATGTTATCTCTGTATAATTGAGACATGAATGTTATCTCTGTATAATTGACATGAATGAATGTTATCTCTATAATTGACATGAGTGAATGTTATCTCTGTATAATTGACATGTATGTTATCTCTGTATAATTGACATGAGTGAATGTTATCTCTGTATATGAAAGTGGTACATGTAAGTACACAATCGGTCAGTTCTTTTTTACAATCCATTGTTGTTATTGTTTATATACATATTAATTATGTTTAATTATCCTCTACTTTTCAAATAATATGGGGATATTAATTTAGGGATATCTGTCTGTCTTGCTTTAGCTTCTGTGAGATTACTTCAATAAATGAAAATGGATTTCGATCAAATTTGGTTTAAAGGCATATCTTACTATCCTTCAGCCAGAGTGTGACAACTGATGTCATTGGTTGGTTGATGGGGATTCCACTGCTGATCGGCTGATTGATTTGTGCGGACTTTGCTTAATGTCAATTGATTTAAAAGAGATAGGTTTACAGATGCATTTTTCTATGCTGTAGCCAGACTTAAGATGTCTTAAAAATCAACCATTGAAAGCAAGCAATTTAACCTACATGAATTTGCTTTTTTCTTATGATTGGTTATTCAAATGTGTCATAACCACCCTAAATATTGTCAGATTAATACATAGTAGTTCTAAGCATCGTGTCTTAAGGAGACGGAGGCGGAAATTGATAACTATGATGTACCCTGTACATACATCTATGCATTTCATGAAGATTTAGTCAAGTGTCAAAATTTTTTTATTTTAAGAATACAAACATCATGATCTGATTTTAAAGACTGTAGATCTATATATAATTTACTGTATTCTGATATATATACAATTTGGTCTGAAACACCTCTTTTTAAGATTTAATTAGACAACCTGATTGATGACAGTGAAGATTTTCCCCAATATATATTATGTATAGATGACCATGACTCCATATAAGGTTTGAACGGGTCATATACTTATCTGATGAATTTTATGAATGTTTGGATTAATTTTTCCATTTGTTATGAAGTACAGTACTGTAAAGTCTTTGGTTATTGTTTCGGGATTCATTTTTGTTGATTTACTGGGTATTCTATCCACAAAAATTAAACTCCTCAAAAAATATCCGATTTTACAGTATATGATTACGCATTTTTGTTGACATGTTATAATTGAAATATCAATATGTACAGTAAATATGAAATAAAACAAGTATTTTTTATTGAAAAATTCTTATTGTCTTTGACTTAAAACGAAAAAATTGAAGGGACAAAATGGTTAGATATTGATTTCAGAACTGATAAAAAGCATTATAACATTTAAATATCTGTTGAAAATTGTGTACTTTCTGTTAATTACAATATTTTAAAATTTGCATAACCATTTTATTAACAATGTCTAAAAATTAAAATGAAAAAGGAGTGACTCAACACTAAATCATATCATTATCATTCAGAGTGTTAACAATGTCTTTGCACAGGCAATTTAAGATTAATTCAAATTCATTTATTTTGCTCTGTCATGCATAAAGCAAGAAACAACTGATCATTTTACAAAGCAAGAATTGAAACATGGCTAGCAAATTAAGTTTTTGCTTATAACATAATTATACATAGTAAGAAATCATATCAAAATGGCAAGTTAAAAGAGATTCTGAAAGTTCACATGATAAACTTGACTATCTCTGATCAAAACAGCGATGGATGGTAGACACAACACCGAGTGTCGACGCATTAGTTTGAAGCTGATAAACTTTATCAATTTCTCTCTTAGAGTGTTATAATCATGTGAAGAGTCTAATTTTAAGTATTACAATGCTCGCCCGAAATCAAAGACAAAAATAACAAAATCTAACCATTTAGTCCCTTTAACAAAAAATTCTATATCATTATGTTGTTGTTCCGATGTTATGTTATGACAGTATAATTTATAATCCTTTCAGTTTTTACTATCTAAGTCAATTTGTATAAGAACATCACTTTTAATATTTGTAGGTGATGGTAGGCAATTTGGATTGCCCATAGCATATTTATATTTCACAATTATGACAAATTTGATATTTTGTCATATGAGTGAAATATATATATAAATGAGAACTCATTAGATTCTCTTATTTGATTTTTTATGGCAGAACAAATTAAATGAGAAAAAAAGCCAAAACACGTGTAAAGTAAATTGAGTGTTCAAAAAACTTGATGTTGGAATTTTATATTTGACAACAAGATGATGCCATTTTGAAAAGGCTTTCTTACATATTCATTGTATTTTACTATCGTATGGTGTTATGTGGCAAGAACTGCTTACAAAACTGTTTTCAAATACCAAATTTGAGAGAATAAGTAATGCACTGAAGGAAAACTAACGATTCAATCTTCATTTCATTTGCATCTGAACAAGAAAATTGACAAAATTTCAAAGCAGTGACGAGAAAGCATTGCTCTGATTAGTCAAAACTACAAAAGTTAAATCATCAATAGAAAAGTTATATTGTCACTAGTGAGGATACATTAAGTTTTCATCAAATTGATACATACCTGTACTTCACTAGCAAAAATATAATATAAGTGAAGCTAGTCAGTTTTTTTGGTATAAATTTCAATGGTATTAACTCAAATATTAATGATCCATACTGTAAAAATAGTATAGTTACATGCGTGGAGTACAATTTCCATGGTTTTTCAAAAAAAAAAAAAAAAAAAATTTGTGGACACTTGATTTCATGAATAAATTTTATTAATTACAACAGTTCATGAACATATACATGTATGAATTGAAATGAGAGTACCTATGAAATCAAAAGGAAGAAGGGGGTCCATGACATCGGGCAACATTAATCAAAACATAATTCTATTGGAGGGGGTTTAGTTGGGATTTTGCCGAGGGTGAATGTTGTTGCGTTGTAAGCAGCCAACTCCTCTTTGGTAAGGTTTTCCATTGGTGTATACACTGTAGCTTGGGATTTGTCACTTGGTGTTGTCACTACATTTCCCCCTGTTGTTGTTCCAAATGTGTTGTTAGAGGCACCAAAGGCACCAGCGTTCCCAACATTAGATCCACTCTGAGAGGAAACATTAAATGAATTAGCTGCTTGGGAAGTCTTCCCGAAGGTGTTATTGAATGTTCCTTGGCTACTTGCACCAATTGTGGTTCCACTAGTATTCCCTCCAAAGGAATTTCCAGAACTTGGTTGGGAGGCCCCAAAAGGATTCCCAGAACTTGGCTGGGAGGCCCCAAAGGGATTCCCAGAACTTGTTTGGGAAGCCCCAAAAGGGTTTGTGTTCTGAGCTTGACCTATAAATAAATTACTTGGTACATTGGTTCCAAACTGACCAGAGGTCTGACTACCAGAGTCAAAAGCTCCTGCACTTGGAGCACTGAATGCTCCTGTGTTCCCACCAAATAATGATGTATTCCCACCAGTGGCAGAGGAACTGCCAGAAACACCACTGAACAGTCCATTTGTACCACTGGCTCCAGAACTTCCAGCTGAATTACTAAATAGAGACATGGTCGATGATCCTGCAGCAAAACACAAATACAGGTATTGTTAAATACATATATTTCTAAATTAACCTTAGATTTCTATCAATTCAACTACATATAAACATTTTTTTTGGAACATTTTCTTTAGGTAGGTAATGTCAATACGATGGAAGTTCTTGTAACACAACCAATAAAAGATTAGAGTATGATGTTTTGATGACTATACAGTCCCCTTCATCAGACAAATTACCATTGTAAAGCATACAAACACTGACATACGTAGTGTACAAGATGGTACATAATCGACCAACTTACACAATGTGTAAGGTAGCATATAACCTTAACTCTTAATGCAAATCACAGGTAAAATGTGCAAGGTAGCATATAACCTTAACTCTTAATGCAAATCACAGGTAAAATGTGTAAGGTAGCATATAACCTCAACTCTTAACACAAATCACAGGTAAAATGTGTAAGGTATCATATAACCTTAACTCTTAACGCAAATCACAGGTAAAATGTGTAAGGTATCATATAACCTTAACTCTAACACAAATCACAGGTAAAATGTGTAAGGTATCATATAACCTCAACTCTTAACACAAATCACAGGTAAAATGTGTAAGGTATCATATAACCTCAACTCTTAACACAAATCACAGGTAAAATGTGTAAGGTATCATATAACCTTAACTCAAACACAAATCACAGGTAAAATGTGTAAGGTATCATATAACCTCAACTCTTAACACAAATCACAGGTAAAATGTGTAAGGTATCATATAACCTCAACTCTTAACACAAATCACAGGTAAAATGTGTAAGGTATCATATAACCTCAACTCTTAACGCAAATCACAGGTAAAATGTGTAAGGTATCATATAACCTTAACTCAAACACAAATCACAGGTAAAATGTGTAAGATGCCATATAACCTTAACTCTTAATGCAAATCACAGGTAAAATGTGTAAGGTAGCATATAACCTCAACTCTTAACACAAATCACAGGTAAAATGTGTAAGGTATCATATAACCTCAACTCTTAACACAAATCACAGGTAAAATGTGTAAGGTATCATATAACCTTAACTCAAACACAAATCACAGGTAAAATGTGTAAGGTATCATATAACCTCAACTCTTAACACAAATCACAGGTAAAATGTGTAAGGTATCATATAACCTCAACTCTTAACACAAATCACAGGTAAAATGTGTAAGGTATCATATAACCTTAACTCAAACACAAATCACAGGTAAAATGTGTAAGATGCCATATAACCTTAACTCTTAATGCAAATCACAGGTAAAATGTGTAAGGTAGCATATAACCTCAACTCTTAACACAAATCACAGGTAAAATGTGTAAGGTAGCATATAACCTTAACTCTAACACAAATCACAGATAAAATGTGTAAGGTAGCATATAACCTTAACTCAAACACAAATCACAGGTAAAATGTGTAAGATGCCATATAACCTTAACTCTTAATGCAAATCACAGGTAAAATGTGTAAGGTAGCATATAACCTCAACTCTTAACACAAATCACAGGTAAAATGTGTAAGGTAGCATATAACCTCAACTCTTAACACAAATCACAGGTAAAATGTGTAAGGTAGCATATAACCTTAACTCAAACACAAATCACAGGTAAAATGTGTAAGGTATCATATAACCTTAACTCTTAATGCAAATCACAGGTAAAATGTGTAAGGTAGCATATAACCTCAACTCTTAACACAAATCACAGGTAAAATGTGTAAGGTAGCATATAACCTCAACTCTTAACACAAATCACAGGTAAAATGTGTAAGGTAGCATATAACCTTAACTCTTAACGCAAATCACAGGTAAAATGTGTAAGGTAGCATATAACCTCAACTCTTAACACAAATCACAGGTAAAATGTGTAAGGTAGCATATAACCTTAACTCTTAACGCAAATCACAGGTAAAATGTGTAAGGTATCATATAACCTTAACTCAAACACAAATCACAGATAAAATGTGTAAGGTATCATATAACCTCAACTCTTAACACAAATCACAGGTAAAATGTGTAAGGTAGCATATAACCTTAACTCTTAACGCAAATCACAGGTAAAATGTGTAAGGTAGCATATAACCTCAACTCTTAACACAAATCACAGGTAAAATGTGTAAGGTAGCATATAACCTCAACTCTTAACACAAATCACAGGTAAAATGTGTAAGGTAGCATATAACCTTAACTCTTAACGCAAATCACAGGTAAAATGTGTAAGGTAGCATATAACCTTAACTCAAACACAAATCACAGGTAAAATGTGTAAGGTAGCATATAACCTTAACTCTTAACGCAAATCACAGGTAAAATGTGTAAGGTATCATATAACCTTAACTCTTAACGCAAATCACAGGTAAAATGTGTAAGGTAGCATATAACCTTAACTCTAACACAAATCTCAGGTATAATGTGTAAGATGCCATATAACCTTAACTCTAGCACAAATCACAGGTAAAATGTGTAAGGTAGCATATAGCCTTAACTCTAGCACAAATCACAGGTAAAATGTGTAAGGTAGCATATAGTCTTAACTCTAGCACAAATCACAGGTAAAATGTGTTAGGTAGCATATTGCCTTAATTAGAATCTAACATAAATCACAGATATAATGTGTAAAGTATGTGTGTAAGCGGAGTAAGTTCCAATAAAGAAAGAAAAGCATAGTGAATACACAGAATGTATGTTCCATATACAAGTTTGCAATAAAAAATGTCAAGGGCATAACTACATTTACATAGGTCAAAGCATTAGAGAAATCTTTAAAAAATACACTGAAATATAAATAAATGCATAGACAGAGAAAATACTGTTTACAAATGAATGAACAGAACTTGATGAGCTTGAAAGAATTTTACTGAAATCTAAAAATTATTTCCGTGAAAATTCAAAGAAACAAATTGTATTTTTCTTTTGTTGTTATGAAAGTTTTCTTATAATTACCTCCCTTGTCACTGCTTCTGAAAGGCAAAAGTAGCGAAAATATAAAATCTTATATTGTAAAGCTGAACATTGTTATAATATAAAAACAGTAGGGGACCACATAGAGAATACATGTTCAGTGTCTTAAAACAAGCTGTATTTTGGCAAGGGTGAAGAAAGACAAAAGCATCCAGCCACTTTTGTCTTTCTGTCCCAAACCAAAATGGAGTTTATATTTTAAGACACTATCAATGTATTCTATTTATCCTGCAATACTGATTGAAAATCAGACTATTGAAACTTCAACTTTTGTTGTTCAATCTTTGTTAACCTGTCATTTAAAATAATTGCTCCATGCAGAAATGTAGTTCCAAACTTCAACAGATATGACAGCAATTTCAGGAATTTTCATCAATAAATTTGTAAATGACAACACATAAATTGCTTCTCTCAACAGATATTTTTATTGTTATAAGTATTTTTTGAGTAAATTCAGAAAGTAATTCTGTCATATTTACACACATGCTAAAATACAGCTGTTTCCCATCACTGTCGAACACAACAGAAATATGTAGAAAGATTATTTCCACAATGGCAGTGCCAGTTGCAGGATAGAATTTGAAAGTATGATTCTATGTAGTGAATATATGAACTAAGCTAGTTATGGACTTATTGAAATACCTTGTATACAAGATTTCAAAGAGAGGTCAAGGATGACCTTTGACCTTTAAACTTGACTGAAGACCATCAAAATTGAATCGCTATAACACCAAGTTTGGAACAGAAAGCATATGGCACAAAATAGCTAGCTTTTTAACCATTATTTCATTAAATATTTTTACATAGAGAATAAAAATGTTAAAATTTGTCGAAAAAAAAACACAAGACATGGCAGTGAGATCTTGACATCCACCATTGTTTAATCTTTACTTGTTCTTTAAAAGTTGGATCTTTTCCCTTTTTTTTCTCTGCCCAGTTTTTGCTCTCACTGATACGAGATTTGGACATTATTTTGCGGCAATAGCGATAATAAACTTTTCTTCAATTGCCAAATCCAAGATGGTAACTTGTCAGCCATTTTGTTTTTCTAATCAGTCCCAAAATCAAACCGACACAACTAGTGTTCAAAAGGAATCTATACAAGAAATTTGAGAGAGATCTATCGAGTACTTTCGAAGAAATAGTGATAACAAACTTTACCAGGCAAAACCAAGATGGACATCTCTTGGCCAGTTCGTTTTCTGATCAGTCCCAAATTTAAACTGGCACAAAAAGGGAGCAAGGGGAACCTATGTGTGAAATTTGTGAAAGATCCATCTAGTACTTAGAAATAGCAATTACAAATTTTAAATGTTGAAATAAAAAATAGTGATCTGTTGGCCATTTTGTTTTCCTATATATATTGAGAATGCTAAATACATGTACTAAATGCAGACCACTTACCTTGCTTTCTTGTTTCTGTATTCCTCTATCAATGACACCTGTCAATTAGAAAATTTCGCTATTAACATTTCTCTTTCAATGACACCTGTCAATTAGAAATTGTCACAATTAACATTCCTCTATCAATGAAACCTGTCAATTAGAAAATGTCACAATTAACATTCCTCTGTCAATGACACCTGTCAATTTGAAAATGTTGCAATTAAGATTCCTTTGTCAATGACACCTGTCAGTCAGAAATTGTCACAATTAACATTTCTCTATCAATGACACCTGTCAATTAGAAATTGTCAGAATTAACATTTCTCTATCAATGACACCTGTTAAGGAGAAAATGTCACAATTAACATTCCTCTATCAATGACACCTGTCAATTAGAAATTGTCACAATTACCATTTCTTTATCAATGAAACCTGTCAATTAGAAAATGTCACAATTAACATTCCTCTCTCAATGACACCTGTCAATCAGAAATTGTCACAATTAACATTCCTCTATCAATGACACCTGTCAATTTGAAAATGTTGCAATCAACATCCCTCTATCAATGACACCTGTCAATTAGAAATTGTCACAATTAACATTCCTTTATCAATGACACCTGTTTAGGAGAAATTGTCACAATCAACATCCCTCTCTCAATGACACCTGTCAATCAGAAATTGTCACAATTAACATTCCTCTATCAATGACACCTGTCAATTAGAAATTGTCACAATTAACATTTCTCTATCAATGACACCTGTCAATTTGAAAATGTAGCAATCAACATCCCTCTATCAGTGACACCAGTTATCAATTAGAATGTGACAATAAATATTTCTATATCAATATCACCTGTCAAATAGAAAATGCCTGGCGCTTAATCTGAGGGACCAAATCCAACACTTAAAAGTTGGGAATTTCATCCATTTTCATGTTATTACCTACATGTGTTTGGACAGAATCTCGTGTGGTTGCATGATTATAACAGGTCCAAGTAGACCTTGTAGTATGGTGTTGTTAGACTTCACAAACTTCATGGGGTTTGTTGGACTTCCTGGTTAATTCTTGCTGAAACCGTTTATGATCTCATCATGCCAAGCACACAGATGGTTATAGGGCAAGAATGTTATTACAAGTCCTGATCCTCACAGCAGGACTGAACTTTGTGACTAAACGAACTAGCATGATTTTGCTTGCAAGATGATATCAAGCAAGAAATTAAGGAATATGATGCCTGTACTATACTGGAAGTTTTCTTACCATTTTCTGTTTAACTGACATTGTAGCATTTTTGAGGACTTGTCGTTTGGAGGAATATTCTTGGACTAGATTCTGGACATGGTTCATCTGAAATAGGACAATACTTCATCACACATTTCATTATATAAAAGTTGCTTCATTACACATTTCACTACATCAATGTTAAATCTTTACCTGGAAACAAAGCACAAGCTTATAATCCAATACTGAACGGAACTAAAATGCTATCATTTACAAAGAATTGTCACCAATACATACATAGCTTTGTAGCCCTCCCGTTTTCTGAGCCTCATAGGCTGCAAATCGTAGCTCCTCAGTTGACATGTCTGTGAATTCTGTAAAAAGAAATTACGAATTTTGAGTCTATGATGAAGAGCATTTTCTCTAGAATAACATTGATGGAATTTGCCACAAGTCCAAATATAATCCTACCGATATATCATTTATTGTGGTGGTATGATTCAAGCTCATTTTCCTTTGATCAAAAATCTTTTGGGACTTTATTTAATTATTTTGCTTTGAAACTCAATGGATTGTATCCCATAATCCTCACTATATATAAAACCTTTAACGCTTACCTGGAACACATGGTCCTTCCTTCTCAAACGCGATACATGAAAAAGGCCACATCTTGCTCTGTTCCCATGTTTTTATCTCCACCACCAGTGTGTTTCTGTAATTTACAAGTACAAAAATATGTCAATTATCAGTCACAATTAAAACCTTACAGAAAAAGACAAGAGGGCCATAGCCTTAAATGGTCATTTGACAACTGACAGATGGATGAACAAACCACAGAATTTGCTGATGTGGGCTGACAAATCTGATAAATTCAAATTTTGTACATTCCTTGAAAGTATTAGAAACTCATAAAGTTCTGTGCATGAAAAACATTTGTGCAATCATGTTACAAAATAACTACTGTGGTTACCATGTTGTAGTTTGATCAGACTGAGAAATAACAAAACAATTCTTTCTTTTCCTAAAAGAATCAAACTCCAAAATGTCTTTCTCATTGGTGTAAATGAAACATGACATGTTCTTCAGACTATTTATTCTAGATGAGTTATGTGTAATGAGTTAAAGTGTAAAATAAGATTTGGTCAGGACAATCTCAGGATCACTTCATGCATGTTTAATATCAATGATGTTTCAAACCAAATTTGGTTGAAATCTGCTTAGGCGTTAAGCAGAAATAGTGTTTTGAAGGAAAAGTTTTGGACAGCAAATGGCACATAGCACAAGATGACAGATGATACATGATAGCAATAGGTTGTCTTGACCTATTGGGTCAGATGACCTAAAAATAACCTGAAACTTACCTGACCTCTGTTGGTGAAAACTAAACTTGGCACTCACCTGACCTCTGTTGGTGAGAACTAAAGCTGGCACTCACCTGACCTCTGTTGGTGAAAACTAAACCTAGCACTCACCTGACCTCTGTTGGTGAGAGGTGAGAACTAAAGCTGGCACTCACCTGACCTCTGATGGTGAAAACTAAACCTAGCACTCACCTGACCTCTGTTGGGGGAACTAAACCTGGCACTTACCTGACCTCTGTTGGGAGAACTAAACCTGGCACTTACCTGTTCCTGAGAAATGTATCTGACACTTACATGACCTCTGTTGGGGATGTTTGTGCAGCTGTCTGCTGTTGATTTTGTTGACGTCTGTCCCATTTGTACTTGTTTCCTCCACCAACCCCTCCTCCTCCTCCTCCTCCTCCTCCTCCACCTCCTCCTCCCCCTCCCCCTCCTCCTCCTCTCCCACCTCCAAACAACTGGCGCTGAGCTGTATATGCAAATCCTGAAATAAAGATCATTTGTAATCACCATAGGGATGTATACTTGATCTGATGTGATCAAATTTTTGTGTCTCATCACTTTTTTGGGAAAAAATAAAATGACAAATTTGCATAACCACAATAATAACTTCATAAACAGAAATTGTAAATAGTGGAATCATATTTCAGCACAATAATTAGAGTCATTGTCATGTCATCCGTTCCGGCCCATTATATATTTTGACATGGCCATTTCGTCAAGCCGTATCACATGAACTATTGACCTACATGACCTTGCGCCTAGATAATGTTGGTTGCTGTAATAGGTCATGCTTCCAGAAAGAATTTGTGATTTAAACCATTCACCATTATATTATGATTATATATTTCATGGGCAAATTTATGTATTTTTTCTTAATACAGAATTTTACATGTCAAACATCCTCCCAGATATGATGAAATGACCTATCAATCCACCCTCGGATGTCAATGTTCTATTGGAGTCTGTTGTGTGAACAACAATCAACCATGACTAATAACTAGGCCACGCCTTCTTGCAACTTTTTGGCAACAATAGTTCAAACATGCATGACTTATGTTGAACAAGAGGGACATGGCCCTTAGCAGTCATCTGACAATCGATGAATGGCTGGACAAAATTCATTCAGGTATTAAGGAAGAACACCATTTTGAAGTAAAGTATTGACTAATTTCCCCATTTGGGGTCCCGTCCCTAAGTCCCTTGGGGTTGAGTCACATTTCTGAATTTAAGAAACAATTGCCTACCCTAACTGATAAATCGGGCCAAAGCTTGTTGAAATGCACCTGGTCAAAAGAAGGAGTAGGACTTTAAAACTAATTTTAGCACCTCTTGCTTTGGGCCCTGTTCCTCAACCCCTAGGGGTCAAATAAAAATTCTGAATTTGTGAAATGATTTCCCTCACACATTGATGCACCAGACCAAATTTGGTTGATATCCATTGAGGAATGAAAGAGGAGTAGGCTTTTAAAGAAAACATTTACGCAAGATGCATTGCACATGACAGATGAAGCATAATGACTAAAGGTAATCTTGATCCTTTGGGTCAGATTACCATAAAATGATGATTTTTATATTATCACTTGTGTTGACTCATTTCTGATTTAATTTAACAACTGGTTGTAGACAGCGAGATGAAAAATTAACTTTACCAAATAGGTTGTGTTGTAAACAGGATCAAACAATTGAAACTTAATTCTAATCCTTTAGTATATGAATATGTATATGAACTTATTTTGATTTTGATTAAAAAGTCATTCCTGTTAAAAGGATGATTTTATGGAATATATACAGTACTTCTGGATCACTGTAAGCACTATATATAGTGCAGTCACATTTCCTATACAGCTGCCGGTCATTTCAGGAGAGTAAATTTGAGGTCGAATCTGTGGATATCTTTTAAAAAATACTGGTCAGTTTCATCTTATGGCATGACCCCATATGAATTCCTTTATGTATTTATTTGGTGGTAATTTGTCGACAGCATAGCTCGCGGGAAATCATTCTTATGGGGTCCAAAACTAATACATTGAGGATATTGGGAGTATTTAGTGGTTTCCATTTAAATTTCTACAAAATTCATGGGTGAAGACAGTGATACATTATTTCATACAATAAAACATTGTGTAGGTCCTAAATATGATTTTTGGGACTAGGATATTTGAGTTCATTTTTCCGCGAGTTTTTAAAAGCACCGATTTAGATGAGCACTCAAATAATAAACACGTTGAGAAGCTTTTGTCGTGCGAAATATCACTTATTATACCTCAGTGGTATATATAGGTCTTCTTATGGGCGCGTGTGATTGTGATTGCACATGACCGATCTGTTAAGAAAGGCTGTCAACGCAAAGAATTACAAAACAGATACAGTATACACTACCTTGGCTGTCCCCACTTGGATGTTCATAGTAACACTTGTTGCCATACCGACAATTTCCTTGCATAAAATATTTACAAACAGTCATCTTTATTGTTTCTGTCTGAAACAGAAAGTAATCTCCAAACTTTCGGTTATAATAATTACAGCGCGGCACCGCCCGGTACTGTCCGGCACCGTCCGGGAACCATATATTGACAACCCGCAGTATGGCAGAGGATGTAAAGCAACACCCCAAACGTTTTTGGAAGTATGTAAACTCCAAAGGGAAAATAAAAAGCCCCAACTATTTCAGACTTAAAGTGACTACATGGAGATGAGCAGCAGATGGCAGTACAAGACAGGGACAAAGTCGAAGTCATAGCCAAATTCTTTCGTGGTGGTTTTACAGAGGAACCTCCGGGAACGTTACCTGTATTTGAAAACAGAACTCCAAGCCTCCCTTTCAAGGAAATTGTCTGTAATCAGAATGTCGTAGAAAAATTACCCGAGACTTCACAGGGACCACATAGAATGCACGGGAACCAAATAGAATACACGGGGACCAAATAGAATACACGGGGACCAGATAGAATTCACGGGGACCAGATAGAATGCACGGGGACCAAATAGAAAGAACAAAGATCACATAGAATGCACAGGGAGGAGATAGATTGCACAAATATCACATAGAATGCACAAGGATCTGATAAAATGCACAGGGACAAGACAGAATGCACAAAGATCACATAGAATGTACAGGGACCAGATAGAATGCACAAGGATCTGATAGAATGCACAAGGATCTGATAAAATGCACAGGGACAAGATAGAATGCACAAGGATCTGATAGAATGCACAGGGACAAGATAGAATGCACAGGGACAAGATAGAATGCACAGGGATCTGATAGAATGCACAGGGACAAGATAGAATGCACAGGGATCACATAGAATGTACAGGGACAATATAGAATGCACAGGGACCAGATAGAATGTACAGGGACCTGATAGAATGCACAGGGATCTGATAGAATGCACAGGGACAAGATAGAATGCACAGGGATCACATAGAATGTACAGGGACCAGATAGAATGCACAGGGATCTGATAGAATGCACAGGGACAAGATAGAATGCACAGGGATCACATAGAATGTACAGGGACAATATAGAATGCACAGGGACCAGATAGAATGCACAGGGACCAGATAGAATGCACAGGAACCTGATAGAATGCACAGGGACCAGATAGAATGTACAGGGACCTGATAGAATGCACAGGGACAAGATAGAATGCACAGGGACCAGATAGAATGATCAGGGATCTGATAGAATGCACAGGGACCAGATAGATAACTAGAGAAACACCATTTAGAACAATATAGACTGAAGTCAGCACGTTCTATAAAAAGGATGCTGGAAGTATATGGCTATGTATAGCGTTGCACATTAAAAGGCTTTATGTATATAAACTTAAAACATGTACTATTTTGACATGCATGCTTAGTGTGTAATTTTCATAACATTCACGGAGAACATGTATCATGTTCAATCAAACGTAAAGTAGAATTAACGTATTCTATGCATAATCATGATTTGTGCAATTTACATTATTTTTCACTTTAATTGCATGTTTTTCATATTATATTTGTATGCTCTTCATATTAGGTGGAAATAAAGACAATAATAATAAGTTTGGCAGATATATTCAACAAACTACTTCAAGCTTGGAAACAGGCAAACAGTTTGGGTTTATCTCTGGGAGGTCAACCAAACTGCAATTGCTAACAGTACTTGGAGAACGGACAGAAATTATAGACAAAGGTGGAAAGTTAGATGTCATATACATGGATTTCATGAAGGCATTTGATACAGTAACACACCAACATTTACTAAAATATGACCAGGATATGGTCTAAGTATTCAGGATAATAGACTTTCTTATAAACAGATGTCAGCGAGTAATATTCAACGGCAAGTCATATGAAACATACCTGGTAGTGAGTGGTATTCCCCAGGGAAGTGTATTGGGCCCAATATTATTTGTTGTTTACACCAACGACCTTCCACTTTTTGCCGATGGTATTAAATTATATAGACCGATAAGCAGCAGCAAGGACATTGGAACACTTCAGAATGATTTGGACAATCTTCACAAGTGGTCTAACAGTTGCAAATGTTAAACCTGCTGACTACAACATCGCAAGAGAAGAGGAGATATGATAAACTTTTTCAAATTACTTACTGATAGATATGATAGTAGGGTAACAAGAAACTTTTTTCCAAATGGACAATATGAATAGGACCAGAGGTCACGATCAAAAAAATTATTTAAGGAGCGATGTCATCTTGATGGAAGGAAGCATTTCTTCAGCTATCGAGTTGTTGATTTATGGAATAGCTTACCCCAAAACGTTGTCTATGCTGAATCTGTTTATACAATTTGAAATGATTATTAACTTTTGTGAAGCCATTGTAAAGAGAAATTATTTACATTGTAATCTGTATTGATATTGATATGAACATAGAGGCTACAAGCCTGCGTCCATTATTTATGCTAATGAATATAAATTTAAAATCTCTTGATTTTCAAATAGATCTATACGACCGCAAGGCATTCCGGCCTCCCCTGGTTTGGTCGTCTAGTCGTGTCGGCCCCAAGTCGATTAAACTATTGAGTAATTTTAAATGAAGATAAGATTAAAAACGATACTTATTTTTATGTTAAATGTACAAGTATGTTAAAACAAACACCAAGGAGTTTGACATTTTAGATGTATACTGTTACTGGTTAGTTTGTAATTAAATAAGTATATCTATAATATTATACATATATAATAATACTTAATTACCAATATCCGTAGTGACTAAACAACAACTGATGTGGATATATCTTGGCTATATGCTATCTAAATTCCAATCCAAGCTGTCTTTATATTTTTACTCTAAATATCCTTAATTATCATTCCATTGTCATATTTATTACCTAATGAAATACAAGTATCATAATTCCTTTATCATATCCCCCCATTTAAACCAAATGGAAATAACACAAATTTTCACAACAAAATAAAAAAATTATTAGGATATGCATGTCAACGCTTATAAGTAACTGTAACTAGAAAAGGCATTTAATTATTATATCGCTACCTGTACCACAATTTCGATGTGTCCATTTTCCAATGTACTGCAGCATATTGCTTCCAGTTGATGCCGTACTTTCTTCTTACATTTCTTAAATTCGTCCGCCATGGTGTGTGCGAAATGAATTATGGTGGAAATTATCAAAATATCTCCCTTATAACGCAAATTCATATTTCGTTAGATTCCAACTGTCTGTTCAGCTGAAATCATAGTTTTCTTTTTTGGTATGTACGTGAACTTTTGAAGACTTGCACATGTGGTGTCAGTAAAATAAATATTCCTTCAATAGTTGTTAGAAGCAAGCCCTGAGAAGCCAAAGCATGCTGTGGAGTGTCATTGTAGCAATTATACGTCTTCCAGTGAAACAACAGAGACAAAACCAGTGATTGTGTAAACAAATTTTATTGGGAAAAATAGGGGGCTGGAACGAAAATGGCCAGATCGGGCTGGGGTCAGAACTACTTAGGTCCGATCAACTAAGGACGAAACTATTGCAGCGCTGAAATGACCGATTACCACCTCTCATGAACCTACTCCTTTAGAATTAGATACTGCAGAGCCAAATAATGAATTTAACTACATCATACAACTGTTTTGTCCATGTAGGATGCCTCAGTGATGCCTATGGCCTGAACAATTAAAATGTACACAACACTTATTATTTCCATTGCAGTGTTCTTCAGACTTAACACAGACCACACATCTTTCTGATCAGGCCCTCCATCTCTGTGTGTCTCTCAACACTCTTCAGATTTCGAAGTGACCGTACACCTTTCTGATCAGGCCCTCCATCTCTGTCTGTAGTCACTCTTCAGTTGACTGAGTGACCAAACACCTTTCTGATCAAGCCCAGTATCTCTGTTTGTCTGTAACCACTCTTCAGTTGACGTAGTGACCAAACATCTTTCTGATCAGGCCCTCCATCTCTGTTTGTCTGTAACCACTCTTCAGTTGATGTAGTGACCAAACACCTTTCTGATCAGGCTCTCCATCCCTGTTTGTAGCCACTCTTCAGTTGACGTAGTGACCAAACACCTTTCTGATCAGGCCCACCATCTCCGTTTTGCCGTTGACACCCTGCCCTTGTCTAAGTGACCCACACATCTTTCTGATAGCGTCCTTCTCTCTCTATCTTCCTGAGGTAATCTGTAGCCTTGTTTCTCTCCAGCTGACCACAGGACTGTATGATATCGGTCAAGGCTTCATGAACATCTTTTGCCATACGTCTGGCGTCTCCACAAACATACACATGACCATTTCTCTGTAAGTGCGAAACATTGATGCAACTGATATTGATAGTATCTATTTCCTGTGTGTGTTGGATGTTGATTTCACTCAGTCGAGGGTCCACATTAAGCAACAAGAACAAGGTGTTACAGAATATTAGCCTTAGATTGAAATAAACCAATCTCTAACATCAGATTCCAATTCTCATACATAATTTTTTCAAAATTTGAACAAAACTATTTTCATTTCAGCATTCATCTATTCAATTAGATTTTCTGCCTTTACAGTTATATACGAGACATACAAATAAATACGACATTTTTATCATGACGTCACTTGGCCCAAAATTTGTGAAAAGGTACCTGGTAGATCAGACAAGATAGATAACTGTAGTAGTAAGTACTATGTGAGATTTCCCTTGTCTTGCGTGCAATACATAGTTCATCCTTTATCATAAGCTGATGAGTGACCCAGCCTAGTTTGGGGGTAAGAAATAAGACAGTAACTGTTATCTAATGCTACCACAGAGAGCAGGTGGGTGCTTTTCAAATATTGCACTAAACTGAACTTTTAATTTCTGATAAGTAAAAATCAAATGGTTTCCATTGACAGAAATGTCGAAACTGTATTACAGCAACATCATTTATATACAGCCAATCATTTGGTCAATTAGAATTCAATGTTACCACATTTGTTCCGTTACCTTGGTAACAAGGTCCCAGATCAGGGTACTATCATCCCTAAGAAGATGCTGGACATATATTTTCTTGGCCTGGTCTCGGGAGAAAGCCACTCGTAGGCAGATCACTCCATTTCTGCTGTATTTCTCTACAACAAAAAGGAAATTTGAGAATTTATTAACATGTTTGGTAGCGAAATACAGGAATTAATTGATCAAATTGATAAAAACTCATATCATCAGTAATGCCGATAAAACTTAGTCACTCCAATGATAAATAATGCTTCAGAGTGTGTTATACTAATGACATACAGGCAAAAATCTTACAAGGGCAAAGTCATTGGATAACAGGCTGATAATGTGATATATATATATACATGGTCCTTGATGGATGTGTTTCATGAAAACTGTCAAACATTTTAGTATATGTAATTAAACTGAATTACATATTCCTATCTTATGTCAAAAACAATGTTTTAACAAATTAACATGCAATAGGTTTATGAATGACGTTTTTTGTCAAAATAATTTTTTAAGTGAAATTTAATTACATAGCAAGTGGGTCATTTACTGTCATGTGATGAAATGTATTAAATACTTCAAATTCAATAAAAATATATGTGGTATATTACACAGAATAACATTTATTCATTTTATTTTGAAAAAATGTTTTTATAAAAATGTAAATACTGAGAATTCAGATCATGTCTGTACAGTTTTCAGCATCAATACTTGAAACAATTTTTACATCTGAACACTTATTGCAGTATGTGTGCTTAGCACAACTGAATTTGTGACAGCAATTTTTCATGTAATAACTAAAAATATTTCAGAAAAATTTCAGTTAAGATAAACATTTAAACATAAGTCAACTAGAAAATTTATGCATTCAAGTATCTAATTTACATTATACTGATATACTCTCTTGAGTCATCAACACAAATATCAAAAGAAAATGTATGAGCACACATTCACAGAGCAAGTCAAATGGCAATATATGTATTAATATATTTTGTACATGTAAAGTGTCAGAAACAGTTGCAAGCACATGTAGAGAGGGGAGATAATTAGCAAATTTTTCCTACAATGTAATTACAGATGACATGTATTAAATATATATTGTTTTATAGTTACCTAATTCTTCTTTGTACAAGAAATCTCCAAACCGATGTCTGCAACCATAGTATAGATGAACCTCTCCTCTGTCACAATGTTGTTCTATATGCAGTATAGAAAGTATTCTGAGGATAAGTCTATATACAGTTACATTAATCTAGTTATACAACACAAAATATTATCATCTCACATAATATAATACTGTACATGTACATAATTCATCAGCCACAATATTCCTATTGTCTATGAGTCATATGTACCTGTTTTAATTGATTTAAAAAAAAAATGATGAAGTTTAAGATTAAATCGCATGAATTTGAAAAAAATAATAATTTAGGGTCTTAAAATATTAGTAAAGTATTAATTTGAAAATTTTATCCTAAATCAAGTTCAAAATGATGTACCTCTTTCTTGTATAAATGCCCTGAAAGGAGCTATCCCTGTACCCGGGCCAATGAGAATAACGGGAATGGCATGGTTGTCAGGGAGACGGAAGTCTGGGTTATGACTCATAAACACTGGACACTCTTGACCAACATGGATACGATCTTGTAGGTATGTGGTGGTCACGCCTTCCCGACCTACTGACAGGGTTTCGTAGCGTAACACAGCCATGGATAAACATACAGTGGTAGCATCCTGCAATCACAATCAACTACATGTAAGTGCTTTAAAAAGGGAAAGAAGTGGAAAGGTTCATTACAAACATTTGACTGATAGATTCTTAGGAATTATGCAATCACAATGAACTAAGTGCTTTAAAAAGGGAAAGAAGTGGAAAGGTTCATTACAAACATTTGACTGATAGATTCTTAGGAATTCTGCAATCACAATGAACTAAGTGCTTAAAAAAGGGAAAGAAGCAGAAAGGTTCATTACAAACATTTGACTGATAGATTCTTAGGAATTCTGCAATCACAATGAACTAAGTGCTTTAAAAAGGGAAAGAAGTGGAAAGGTTCATTACAAACATTTGACTGATAGATTCTTAGGAATTCTGCAATCACAATGAACTAAGTGCTTTAAAAAGGGAAAGAAGCAGATAGGTTCATTACAAACATTTGACTGATAGATTCTTAGGAATTCTGCAATCACAATGAACTAAGTGCTTTAAAAAGGGAAAGAAGTGGAAAGGTTCATTACAAACATTTGACTGATAGATTCTTAGGAATTCTGCAATCACAATGAACTAAGTGCTTTAAAAAGGGAAAGAAGCAGAAAGGTTCATTACAAACATTTGACATAGATTCTTAGGAATTCTGCAATCACAATGAACTAAGTGCTTAAAAAAGGGAAAGAAGTGGAAAGGTTCATTACAAACATTTGACTGATAGATTCTTAGGAATTCTGCAATCACAATGAACTAAGTGCTTAAAAAAGGGAAAGAAGCAGAAAGGTTCATTACAAACATTTGACTGATAGATTCTTAGGAATTCTGCAATCACAATGAACTAAGTGCTTAAAAAAGGGAAAGAAGCGGAAAGGTTCATTACAAACATTTGACTGATAGATTCTTAGGAATTCTGCAATCACAATGAACTAAGTGCTTAAAAAAGGGAAAGAAGCAGAAAGGTTCATTACAAACATTTGACTGATAGATTCTTAGGAATTCTGCAATCACAATGAACTAAGTGCTTAAAAAAGGGAAAGAAGCGGAAAGGTTCATTACAAACATTTGACTGATAGATTCTTAGGAATTCTGCAATCACAATGAACTAAGTGCTTAAAAAAGGGAAAGAAGCAGAAAGGTTCATTACAAACATTTGACTGATAGATTCTTAGGAATTCTGCAATCACAATGAACTAAGTGCTTAAAAAAGGGAAAGAAGTGGAAAGGTTCATTACAAACATTTGACTGATAGATTCTTAGGAATTCTGCAATCACAATGAACTAAGTGCTTAAAAAAGGGAAAGAAGCAGAAAGGTTCATTACAAACATTTGACTGATAGATTCTTAGGAATTCTGCAATCACAATGAACTAAGTGCTTAAAAAAGGGAAAGAAGTGGAAAGGTTCATTACAAACATTTGACTGATAGATTCTTAGGAATTCTGCAATCACAATGAACTAAGTGCTTAAAAAAGGGAAAGAAGCAGAAAGGTTCATTACAAACATTTGACTGATAGATTCTTAGGAATTCTGCAATCACAATGAACTAAGTGCTTAAAAAAGGGAAAGAAGCAGAAAGGTTCATTACAAACATTTGACTGATAGATTCTTAGGAATTCTGCAATCACAATGAACTAAGTGCTTTAAAAAGGGAAAGAAGCGGAAAGGTTCATTACAAACATTTGACTGATAGATTCTTAGGAATTCTGCAATCACAATGAACTAAGTGCTTTAAAAAGGGAAAGAAGCAGAAAGGTTCATTACAAACATTTGACTGATAGATTCTTAGGAATTCTGCAATCACAATGAACTAAGTGCTTAAAAAAGGGAAAGAAGTGGAAAGGTTCATTACAAACATTTGACTGATAGATTCTTAGGAATTCTGCAATCACAATGAACTAAGTGCTTAAAAAAGGGAAAGAAGCAGAAAGGTTCATTACAAACATTTGACTGATAGATTCTTAGGAATTCTGCAATCACAATGAACTAAGTGCTTAAAAAAGGGAAAGAAGCAGAAAGGTTCATTACAAACATTTGACTGATAGATTCTTATGAATTCTGCAATCACAATGAACTAAGTGCTTTAAAAAGGGAAAGAAGTGGAAAGGTTCATTACAAACATTTGACTGATAGATTCTTAGGAATTCTGCAATCACAATGAACTAAGTGCTTTAAAAAGGGAAAGAAGCAGAAAGGTTCATTACAAACATTTGACTGATAGATTCTTAAGAATTAAAAGAGTTAATGATTTTGTAAAGTACAATCATAACAGATATCTAACATGTCCATGTGGTTTTAACTGATCATGTCAAATAGTGCAAAAGGAGGATGGATGGGAAATTAAAGACTTTGACAGACATCTTAGATTTCAAACTGCCCCAAAAGAATTAACCCTAATATAAAAAACTTTGGCAGCCATCTTAGATTTCAAACTGCCCCAAAAGAATTAACCCTAATATAAAAGACTTTGGCAGCCATCTTAGATTTCAAACTGCCCCAAAAGAATTAACACTGATATTAAAAATTTTGGCAGCCATCTTAGATTTCAAACTGCCCCAAAAGAATTAACCCTAATATAAAAGACTTTGGTAGCCATCTTAGATTTCAAACTGCCCTTAAAGAATTAACACTAATATTAAAAACTTTGGCAGCCATCTTAGATTTCAAACTGCCCCAAAAGAATTAACCCTAATATAAAAAACTTTGGCAGCCATCTTAGATTTCAAACTGCCCCAAAAGAATTAACACTAATATTAAAAACTTTGGCAGCCATCTTAGATTTCAAACTGCCCCAAAAGAATTAACCCTAATATTAAAGACTTTGGCAGCCATCTTAGATTTCATACTGCCAAAAATTACTAAGAATGGGATAGAATCATCTCAATATGACTTATTTAGATTTATGTGTTATCTAAATGGCATGGGTAGAACTTGAAAAATTAAATAAGTATTTTGCTAGATGGTGGAAATGGTGGCCATCTTGGATGTTTTACTGAAGAAGAAAAATGAAAAACAAGAACACTTCTACTACATCTTTTGATTATTTCTGACGAATATCAACCATGTCATATTGAAGAATGGTTGAAATACCCATTGTTACATGAAAATGGACTATTCAGCAATCACGTTTCAAAAATAGCTGACGTTGCCATCAGCCATTGTGCCAACTTTTCAAACATACTGAAATTCACAAATTTTTGCCAATCTAACGAACATTTCTCCAAAGGTATGGCTGAGAAGATTTGAAATTATTTGAATTTAACATAAAAAGTGTCTGTCTACAAGACAGCCCTTGAGGCAATCCTTAATATCATGACTGGACTATATCTGGCTAGGTCAAACAAATCCGACAACTTCTGGATGATCTGAGTTAACAGGAAAATCCCAAAAGTCTCATTTGACAAAAAATTTAAAATAACAAAAAACTTCCAATTTGTCAATCCTGCAGTCAGCAGTTATTCTTATTAAAGATCGAGTGAGTTAAAATCAGGACAGACCTTGAGAGGAGACGATGATATGGAGTAATACCGAGGTTGAAGTGGTTTCAGGCAAGGCAGCAGTTGTTGTGGAGACAACCTTATTGACCTATATTCCTGGAGGACATCTCTCACTTCCCTCACTGACATGTACTCCTGTAAGGCTAGGTTGGACTTCCCTGTCTTAAAGGTCATTGAAATATATGAAAAAGGGAAAGTACACATCATATTGACATGCTCAAAGCCCTGTCTGAAGTAACAGCACACTACGACCAATATCTATAGTCACCATGACAACACATAATTATCACTCTCTATGGTTATCAAGACAATAAATGTACAAACAATTCTTGTCTACAGTGACCATGACATCAGCCATTTCTAACACCTTTTGTATAAGCACTCTTACAATATTGTCATTTTTCCTGTCTGTTAATAGTAGTGCACAATGACACTGCTAATTTCCAATTTTTTCAAAGTCTATATTTTTCTTGAAAGCATTTCATTAATCCTGCCAAATATCAATACACTGTGGAGGTAACCATAACTACATGACATCTTCTGTTGTATGAAGAAACCATTAAAATCTGCCACCTACCCCAGGATGAAGTTGTCATGAATTCATGCCACTTACTCCTGGTATGAAGTAACAAAATACATGAAAATATGCTATCTATCTTAGTATTAGTATTATGGTATCATGCCTGTTAGCCCAGTATGATGTAACCATGACAACATGCCACCTACACCAACACAAAGTCACCATGATGTCATGTCACTAAACAGAGAATAAATTGAGTAACTTTGAAAATATGCCATAGCATGGTATGTAGTCACCATGATTTCATGCCACTTACCCCAGAATGAAGTAACCTTGACAACATTTCCCTTTGTGTTGTGTTTGTGACCACCGTCTGTAAAGTCTGCAGTAGTTCCGGTTTGATGGTTTTGATATCGTAGTACTTGATTAACAGTGTCCTCATGTTTGCTGTATCTGATAATGAAGAATCAAATTTACTGTGAAATAAATGATAGGGATTAATATAGTCTGTTGTGTTGCATTGTAAAGTGGGGATTTTGTTTGGGAATCAGCACAGCAACACGTGCCATCTTTTTCAAAGTTTTATTTGTTTTCACTTTTTGTTCTTCTATACAAAAGAGTTCCCACTAAGGGAATGAACACTAACTAAAAGTTGAGTTTTACTTCATGTTTGACCATGACTAGCATCAATTCATCACTCATAACCATGCAATACAATAACAACCTCAGCTTTTCCAGCTACACCAGACAATAGAAACTTTGACAGAGATGATAAAGCTAGCCATCTGTCTGTCAAAATGTCTAATGTGTGGTGTTAAAGGCAGAAGAAACTTCAGCTACATCATGTTGTTAATATGAATTTGTTCTCATTTCACAACAAATTTATGATTTTTCTGATAAATAAATATATATTTTCTTTAATAATAAAAAACTTGTCCTTCCTGTTACAGATAAACAGTGTATACCCCTATAACACAAATGCTAGTTGAAGTTTTTATCCATTTTGATGTCTGTTGACTGATTAAAGATGACCATCGTAAAACTTTTTTTTTTCATACCTAGGGGAGTTGTTTAAAAATATAATACAAACAAATGGTTGACTTGTTCTGAGACAAAGGTCTTTTCTAAAGTAACTACTTAATTAAATACGATAAAAACCTAACAAATCCAAAGTTTCCGCTCTAAATACACACTGTGACTTACAGAACTTTAATAAAAAAAATCAACCATTGAATGTTATAACAAAACTTACAAAGTTTAATGCAGCAGCCACATCTCACTATCTGCTGACATCAGAATCAGTCAAATGTTTGAATTGTGCAACATACCTCAACAAGTATAATTAAGATACAGGGGATATTCGAAACCTGTTGATTTTTAATCAATCACAAATAACGAAATGGTTGTTAAAAAAACAAGTACAACCAGTGCTTGTTAAACATTTTAAGTGTGAAGATAATTTTGTATGCTGTTCTTTTTTTCAATTCTGGGGGACAATATTACATGTGTACCTTATAATGAAGGAAACCTTTCCATGCTATAATCTTACAGGCTAAGTGTTATGGAGTTAATGTGTTACAAGAGTTTACCAGAATGAGGCTGATAGGCCCAGTGTGGCACTGTCAGCATCTCTTTGTCTACCCAGGTCAACAAATCCAAAATGGCTGCCACATGACCAACATTGTTTTCAGGATATATTCCCAAAGCATCACCTAAAAAAAAGTTACAAGAATTGAATCCATTTTCATAATTTACAACTGAATGAACAGTAACTAACTGATAATTATTATCATAATTAATATACCTGAAGTCCAGGCCATGTTGCTACCTGTGATATCAAACTCGCAGTGGATAACCTCTTTGTCGTCAGCACATTTTGGGGCATCAGTCAACAGGTTTTTCACCTGAAAAATGAGGCAAAATTCATGAGGTAATAAGCCCATACCTTGTGGCATGAGAAATGAAGACGGGGGAAAAAGGAAGTGTCTCTATTATGACATGAGTACTTAAGTTTCCATGTATATAATCATAAATGTTTGATGACATTTTTAAAGTTGTCAAATGTGTAACTTTTGACCCATTGACCATAACTTTTGTAAAAAATGTTGACCAGTACTTGAAAATTCTGTTTGTTACCAACATCAATAATATTGTGGTTGTTCACTGTGGAAAAAATCTATCCTGAGATTTAGAGGGAGTTCTTACCAGATTTTTTAAGATATGGAATAAGTGAAATTTCCTGTTACTCCAGGAAGAATTTTGAAATAAAAAGTTGACATTTCTTCTGAAATATTACAACCAATTATCATATACTTTCAAAAAACAGTTTAAAAGATGCTGCATTTATAATGGTTTGTCACAGTGTAAAGCTCCAAGGGGTGTAATTGTGATTTGTGCATTCACAGTAATTGCTATATGGATGACATACAGAGACAATTATAATTAAACACTACATCATTAGCCTGAAAATTGCAAAAGTAGGATTACCATTAAAATATGTACAAGTACATTACCCCTTACCTACAAAGTGTTGGAAGAATAGAAATATGATTATAGACAAAATCAAATTTATGTTTGTCAAAGAACCTTCAATGTAGCCATAAATGGTTGATGTCTGTCATGTTCTTCACTGGAACCGTCAGTCATTATTTGTAAATAGTCCATACACACACGAAGATTGCACGTCCTGAGGTATTCTATAACATCGTTCATCCAACAAGTGATGACGGACCAGTCTTCCATGTCTACATCCCTGGACTCTACAACTGGGTCAGCAGAGCGTTTGGACAGCCTGGTGAAAAGACATTTATCCAGCAATAAGCCTTGGTGACCTACAAATTATCTTGACACAATGTCAGGTTTGGGCTTTTAACAGCACAATTGAATAATAATTACTTTAGATATATCAAAATGAAAAATCTACCAGGCATTACTTTTATATCTTCAATTAAATATAAATTTCTGCAGCAATGATATATTGTGATTGCAGGAGAAAAAAATGCAAACAAGTTACAAAGTATACAGCATTTCATATACATTATACATGTATAAGCATGGTGCAATATCAGATTTTCAGACAGAAAGTTAAACTTTTGATATTTCATCTTAAGAAAATGTCAGTGAAATAAGTACTGTAGTTAACATTTAATAATCATAAGGTAACATTAACTAAAAAATAAAGGCTTAATTACTTAATTAAAAATGATGAGAAAACAGCTGGTTTTGTTTGAGGTTTATAGCCCAGTGATCAGCCACAGAAGATGAGTCTTGTACTAACTGAGATCTGACCTCACTAAACAATATATAAGTGACCCTGTTACCTGGTCACCTGATTGCCTGTGTGAGGATTGTCCACTCTCACACGCTAAAGATCCTCCTTTGACTGTTCGAAAAAGAGTAGGCATGATAACACCAGTCAAAGGGTCTAGGTATAGTGTCAGACTTTATGAAATTTTTTAGGCCAGTAAGACAGACTTCAAAATTACTTAAATCAAAACTAGATAGGCCCCCAACTCTTCCTTCCAGCTTCTGGACATGTTCTAACTGCTAGAGTTAGGATAAGGCAATATTAGGCCCTGAAGCCATCTCTTAAAACTAGTATGATCAACTATCACAACTACAAGCAGTTCCATCCCACTGAGGGGGATGCAGGTCATCCCCTCTTGTTGCCAGAACACTGACGTTTGTCGGGAGATGATACTCGTGTAACATAGGTCATTATATATTTCAATGCCTCCGCTAGGAATCAAACCTGAGACCCCTGGCTTACTAGTCTGAAGCTCAACCAATCAAGTTTAAGATGAAATCTCTCTAGCCGAGTGGTATATTGCGACTGCTATTTTACCAGGGTTACATACTCCCCCTCCAGGAAATAACTTGTCCTCGGGTTTCCAGGGGTCACAGCAATGCTGGTGGGGCATGGGTAAGTAATATTCCCGTTGGTGACAATGTAACAGAGGTCATTATTCATTTCAATGCCTCCGCTAGATAGAAAATACTTTTCTGATATACAATCTAGATTTCAAGGTGTCTTTTAACAGTGACCATGTGATTATCATTAGATGCTTATACAACACAGGTGAGGTAACCATTCTGATGGATCAATATATGTTGGTAATTTTCAGAAACCTGGCCTCAGATGCTGCAACTATTTCTCATACTTTGACAAATGGTATATATAAGTGTGTTTATTAAACAATGGTCAACACTGAATTGTTGTATGTGTTGTATTTCGATGCCCAACAACAGGATTGAGAAATTTTGAATTACTCTGTGTGATTTGAGTGTGAAGGTGCTAATATTAGAATACCATTAAAATGAGTACACACACAGTATTTCCCTGATAAATACAGATTTAATTTCAATAAATGCATTTGTGAGCAGTGATGCATTATTCATTTTTGTAGTGATTGTTAATAAATCCTCGAGGATGGCCTCACCTCCTGTTAATGTCACGTCCCACCTTACAGAAATGGGGATAGTTCGAGTCTCCAAGAGCCAGAACAGAGTATCTACAGTGAGATAAATCCTCCTCGCTTGACATAAGGTTGTCATAGAAACCACGCGCATCAGTGGGAGGGACACCTACAACAATATTGTGGTTTAAATTTTCCTGAATCAAACACATCAAGCTTCATATCTCACAAGGTAATATTTCGGAACATTTTCTTCAGGTTGGTAATGTCAGTAGCATAGAAGTTCTTATGACCAGTACAAGATTTCAGTGTGATGTCTCAATGACTAGACAGTCACCTTCCTCACATGAATGATGTATGTAGTGTGGAACGTACTTGCACTGACGTACATAGTGTACGAGATGGTAAGGAACTGACCAACTTTTTCGGTTGTACTATTATCCTATGTACACTAAGGTCACAATGAGTGTCACAAGATGGTAAACAGATAACAGACAAAAAAATCAACCAGATGGTAACAATGTACTATAGTCAATTAGGCTATGCCTTTTTCACAAGGAAATAGAATATTTCACAATATATGATAGATGTTATATATATAATAGGTGTTATATATATGTATACACATAATAGGTATCATACATATAAAAGGTGTTATATATATATAATAGGTGTTATATATATGATAGGTGTTATACATATGATAGGTGATATATATATAATAGGTGTTATACATATAATAGGTGTTATACATATAATAGGTGTTATATATATGTATACATATGATAGGTGTTATACATATGATAGGTGTTATATATATAATAGGTGTTATACATATAATAGGTGTTATATATATGTATATATATAATAGGTGTTATATATATGATAGGTGTTATACATATGATAGGTGTTATACATATGTATACATATAATAGGTGTTATTCATATGTATACATATATATAGGTATTATATATATAATAGGTGATATATATATGTATACATATGATAGGTGTTATATATATGTAATATATATAATAGGTGTTATATATATAATAGGTGTTATACATATGATAGGTGATATATATATAATAGGTGTTATATATATATATATATATATAATAGGTGTTATATATATAATATATATATAATAGGTGTTATATATATGATAGGTGGTATATATATATAATAGGTGTTATACATATAATAGGTGTTTAAATATAATAGGTGTTATATATATGATAGGTGTTATATATATAATAGGTTTTATACATATAATAGGTGTTATATATATGTATACATATGATAGGTGTTATATATATGATAGGTGTTATATACATATGATAGGTGTTATTCATATAATAGGTGTTATACATATAATAGGTGTTATACATATAATAGGTGTTATATATATAAAAGGTGTTATATATATGTATACATATGATAGGTGTTATATATATAATAGGTGTTATACATATGATAGGTGTTATATATATAATAGGTGTTATATATATGATAGGTGTTATATATATGTATAAATATGATAGGTGTTATATATATGTATACATATGATAGGTGTTATATATATGTAATAGGTGTTATACATATGTATACATATGATAGGTGTTATACATATAATAGGTGTTATATATATGATAGGTGTTATATATATGTATACATATGATAGGTGTTATATATATAATAGGTGTTATACATATGATAGGTGTTATATATATGTATACATATGATAGGTGTTATATATATAATAGGTGTTATACATGTGATAGGTGTTATATATATGTATACATATAAAAGGTATTATATATATAATAGGTGTTATATATATGATAGGTGTTATATATATAATAGGTGTTATACATATAATATCAGATCTGGCATGTTTCATGGCTTACTATATTATGTCATAATGATACTTTAAACTAATGACTTGGTTTCTACATCCATAAAACCTCTATATTTGTGTGTCAGGCTTAAACTCAAACCATTTTCTTGACCTTAGTAGAAAGTTATATACAAGCATACAGACTATATATATATCCATGATTTAGTTTATAACAATTAGAAATTCTTTGACGTACCATCTCCACTTGTTGAGATGACAACAAATATTATCTGTTCCTTGCTTAAGTCTACGTATTCGTGATGTTTCACGTTAACGAGTCGAGGCTGAAGTGGACCATCATCATCTGGATTGGACATGGAAATAATCCTGTGAAAAAAAATATCAGTAAATAAAAATATTGATACATTTTTCATGACCTGATTAAGGGACAAACTGGGTCAAGTTTAAGATTTCCTTATATTTTTTATCTGTCACATCCCTCATCATCTGACTTCTATCAACACTTTTCCTAAAACTCTACCTCTTGGGAATATCTGATAAGATTTTATCAGAATTTTATCTTAATTGAACAAAATGGAAGAACCATGTGTAGCCTCTATTATGCCTGAGAACTCTTTGTACAAGACATGAAGTATCTTGCATTTCTTCATAAACTACTAAATCATTTCATTCCTGTTTATAATATTTTGAGGGGATTTACAATTTTTTTTATTTTCGTTACTTTCATATTTCTTGATTCATGACTACATATGTCCACAAACTATCAAAATTAGTAGAAGTACATTCATGTAGCTATGTTTCTTATGGAAATGTCTATCCATGAAATAGTGATTTTATGAGAAATCACAAGAATTGCAGCCCACAAAATTGTATGATTTCACAGTAATTCATGAGTAAATCTTGTTAAAACAATCCATTTGTACTTTAATCCATGCCATTGTTTATCTATAATATCACAGACATGTAAATTTGTGGATTAAGAGTAACCACAAAATCAAGGAAAATAAAATCCCACAAATATTAATCACTTTCTAGTATATACATCAAATCCATGGTACCTTTTCATGGCCATCAGAGTGAAATTTTATATTTTATCCTTATAAACTATCATTTATCCATTGCTGTAAGAAGTTTCAAGATCATGAATTTCAATTTAATGATAAACAGTATTGAGAATCTTTTCGCTGATAAATATTTTAAAGTTATGAACATGAAATCAATTTTCAAAGAAGATTCATTTGGTGGGCTTATTCACCAAGGACAGCTTTACTGAAGTGTATGATTTGGTGGGCTTATTCACCAAGGACAGGTTCACTGAAGTGTATGCTTTGGTAGGCTTATTCACCAAGGACAGGTTTACTGAAGTGTATGATTTGGTGGGCTTATTCACCAAGGACAGGTTAACTGAAGTGTATGCTTTGGTGGGCTTATACACCAAGGACAGCTTTATTGAAGTGTATGCTTTGGTGGGCTTATACACCAAGGACAGCTTTATTGAAGTGTATGATTTGGTGGGCTTATACACCAAGGACAGCTTTACTGAAGTGTATGATTTGGTGGGCTTATTCACCAAGGACAGGTTTACTGAAGTGTATGCTTTGGTGGGCTTATACACCAAGGACAGGTTAACTGAAGTGTATGATTTGGTGGGCTTATACACCAAGGACAGCTTTACTGAAGTGTATGATTTGGTGGCCTTATACACCAAGGACAGGTTAACTGAAGTGTATGATTTGGTGGGCTTATTCACCAAGGACAGATTTACTGAAGTGTATGCTTTGGTGGGCTTATACGCCAAGGACAAGGATAAATACATTAACTCACTGCATGTCACAATAAGTGTTATGATAATTTGAGTGTTCAATAGACTAGTTATCAGAGATCCATACCAGCATAGTGTGATCCCTAAAGAGGTAGGATCTGAATATGAATATATAACTTACCTATCAAACAATTTACCAGCTACCTCCTCACTGAAGCCATACTCTGTTCCATACAAAATCAATACTTGTTTTCCTTCTGTGTCATACGGCTTCATGTAACGGCCATCTTTGTGTTTATCCACTGTATTTTGTGTCTCACTTGCTGAACCTGAAATAAATGTTTAAATTTTCTAACCTCAAAACATCATCACTTTTCAATCATTACAGCAGTATTCCATTTATAAATAAACTATGTATGTACAAGCTGAGAGTGCAGGTCATCTTATTAGCCTCAGCTAGTGAGAATTTTCCTTTAACTGAGCAGTAGAGTGTCCAGCTAGAGACAGAAAGGTCACTAGTTGAAACCCCAGCAGTGACAGGGTGTTTTTCATTACTCTTTTCTATTGCACATATGAACTATCTAATAAAATGATCTAACTATTACCAAAACTGCATATCAGATTCACTGTGTATTACAAATAACAAATCTATCAGAATTCTTCACTTGAATTTTAATTAAGATATACAAAAACATATATACTTAATTGAATTATGAATAGATATCTGTATATATCACCATGAATTATATTTAATTTCAAAATTCAGAAACAATAACTTAAGGTCAGTGGTTATCTATTCTCTCTCACAGGAACCAGAAGCTTCATACTGGCTCTGCTATATCATACTCTAAATTTGTATCAAAAGGTGTATTAGAAGTGTGTTTATCACCAGGCCTGGGTTTACTACTGATAAATGTAAATAATAAAAGATAGATCTGTGTCATAGAAATGTACACAGAAATTAACATTACAAATAACTCTACCTTCCTGTATGATGAATGCATCTATACTGTTGTCCTCAAAGTCACTGCCAGAGCTAGATACTAGTGTATAGACAATGTATCCAACAAGTCCCACCAGAGATGTTAGGACCCAAGTCCACATTCCATCTGGTAACCATGACAGCATCATCCACATGTACTTTTTTGTGCATACTTATCTAAATCAAGAAAACAATTGCATTAAAACAGTAAAAAAGGAAACTTCCATTCCCTCATTTACAGACTATCAAACAGGCTTAATTAGCCCAGTTAAATCCTGGATCCTGGGAATTTGGAATATTTTCAAACTGTACATTGTACGATACTGTTATTTTGTATGGAATCACCCTTAAAATATCTAACATCAAGGTTTAGTGGCATAAAATCTTAGGAATGGTATACAAGTTCAGAGTTCCTTTTTTTTTTGTTTTTTTTTTTTTGGGGGGGGGGGGGTATATTTCAGTCGAATTAGTTTGCTCTGGCTGTACCAAATAATACTAAGATTTTCACAATTTTGCTAGACACAAATGTTTGTGGTGTTGATAAATCTATCTGTCTATTATTAATTCTAAATATCTAGTGTTCAAGTTGATCAGGGTTGGTGGTTCAGTCTGACTGTTAATTCTAAACTGTCTATTAATGTAATTGCGAAGTATACATGTACACAGTACATACTTATTGCTAGCACCTAATCTTTCTAGAATCTGAGCGAAGGAGTTTCTGCCATTGAAATTTGATTATTAAAAACTTTCATCAAATCATTCAAGATAAGCAAATCGCAAAAAATGATATCACAATTGTGCACCTATTCAAAATTACATATTCATCTCATCAATTTGATAATATGCATAGTTTTATTGTACCTGCTTTATTGCTCACAAACAGCTGTGCATGTACAAATGTATTTATCCAGTAATTATACACATACTGTTTAGTAATATCTAATTATGATCATAACAACCTCTTAGGTAAGTGTCAGTTGGTTTAAAACGGTGGCAGTATTGTTAACAGCAATCTGGTGTTTGTAGGTTAAAGGTCAGAACCTAGCTTTGTTAGGATTTATCAGGAAAATTAATAGATGCAGGCTGAAAGCTTCTACATTGTATACCCATATCAACAATACATACAATGGAATACATACAGAATGTAAACTTACAACGTCTGGTACAAAATTTCTTCGCCTTAAAGTTTCTTCAACTAAATGTTTTGTTAACATATGTATATATATATATTAGCAAACTCTAGACCGCTAGACTCAAGACATGCATTTTACATGTATATGTATGTACCGCTTGCACTGCATACATATTGTTCATGTACATGAAGCTTGACCTTACTGCCAAATTTATTCAGTTTCGAATCACATAATTAGGTCAAAATAACCTGTAAGTAATCCTTGATTTTTTTTTCTTTCTTTACATTTTAAATCCATGTCGTGTATAACTGTACCTGTTATCCTGACTACATAATGTACTGTAATTGTCAGCTCCGCCCACTAAAATCCTACTTTCATTTTCGGAAATTCGGAGCACATCTAGACTTATTAAACAATTCTAAAAATAGATACCTTCCGATAGGAATATTTACAACCAATGAGAATCCACTATTTTCATCAGTGCTGTACAAAAATACCGTGATGGCGAGTTGCTACAGACGCGTTTACACACACAGGAGATATGTTATATGATAATCAGTGTTTATGCAGACAAGAAAAGAAGATAAACATGGATTGTGTGTACAAATATATAAGAGGAAACGATTTGTGTTCAGATCGGAATCTTTGGGGAATTTGTTTGTTCGACTAAACGTATTGTTTGATTTTCATTCATTAGTAATGATCACATAGCCCATAAAACATTATTGATGAATACACAATCTGTGTGAAAAAAATTTACTCAAGTAAGCAGACGTTCACTTTGGAAAAAGAGACGGTTTTTATTGTGTATCTCAAACCATTCGCGAAGAATTTCAATTGTGTTAGTGTGTCCGAGTGATTTTTACAGTGTTCATAATATTTACAAACAGCAAAACATCAAGTTTGAAACTAAGCAAATCACCAAATGCCTACTGCAATGGATAAAAACAAAAAGCGGTCTCTACGCATCAAAATCATCAGTATGGGAAATGCAGAGGCCGGAAAGGTGAATATACTTCAAGAGTTTTATTCTAAAACTGTATAACCCTGTACTGTAAATATCTATGTACAAAAACAATGAGGGGATGGTGAAAACAGGCCCTGTTTAATTTGTAACATGCCATAGAACATTAGCTGGGCACAAATGTATATGTACATTTTGTAACGTTATTCTGTGACAATTTCCATGTGTGCTCTCTAGTACATTGTACATATATGCCTGGTGGTCCTATTGTTCTTTATTATATTCTCCTATGGAAACATGACATTAATTCCTTTGATTGATGTTTACCTTTCTGAAACACCTGGTTTTATTCTCCTTGTACTTTTTCAAGAGCCTGTGTGTAAATTCTTCTTTTGCTCAATATTTGCTGTAAGATCCTTGAATTTAACAGTAAGATTCTTTATTGGTTACATGTGCCTCTATCTGTATAATTCACAAATGGAAGTCATTTTGTTGGTGCTTGGTCATACAATTTTAGATAAGATGTACAGGGAAAACATCAAGATAGACAAAATGGGTAAAACAGCGGTCTCCACATCTCGTTATAAATTTTAGAGCTGTCTCGCTGAAAAAAAAAGAGGAAAGTGAAAAAATAAATAGGCTAAACAAAAAAGTAAGTTTGTTTCCTGCTACAAGCTTGAGCAATTTAGAGTAGGTAGATTTAGGCAGCAGGAATATTTTGTTACTTTGGAAATGAGGCCAATGATATTGAATTGGGGGCAGGTGGGGTGGGGTGGGGTGGGGGGGGGGGGGAGTGTGACAAAATCTTAAATAAAAACAAAATAACAAAATACAATTGAACTGCCATTGAGTTGGGAAATTTAGAATTTTTTGATTGGAAAAAATAAAAAGATTTTAAGGTTTTGTTTAATGGGAACGGGGTGGGAAGGAACGAGTGTATGTGATCACTGCAATCAAAATTGTACTGGCAAAGGGGTCAGTAGGGTAATGGTGAAACACAAATATATATGAATGTAATGATAAGGGATATGCACTTAGGCTTTATTCCCAAATTATAAATGATGTGTGGCTTGATCAACAATAATGATAGAAAACATTTAGTATGTTTTATCAGACAATTACAAATCATCATATACTTTTATTGCTACAGTTAGTCCACCATCTTTATGTATATATTTATCTATAACAATAAGACCATTTATTTCCTCTACTAATTGTTGTTAGTTGAGAACAAATGCTTTTTAAATGTCATGGTAAGTCCTGCACCCCATGGAGTGAGTGAGAGACAATATATATTTGTTGGCTTGGTCATTTTTTGTACATGTACTTCAGTAAGTTACTCTGAAGAATATTTATATACATCAGACAGAGAATATATATATCCTCGTAACTTTTGCCAACACGAACAAAATTTGTAGCAATCAAAAGATTCGAGAAAGATCCATATTGAACTATTCTGAATACCTGGGTCGATGATATATATTGATTTAAAGATTATATGTCTTGTTTCTTGTTTATATAAGTTATAATATTCTGTAATGTGTATCATGGTTTGATCAATATCATGGATAATTTACGACAGGTATTTAAACACCTGATTTTATGTAGAAGAGATGGTAAATCTGCCAGTCACATAAGTATAAATATGTGCTTAGGTTGTCTTAGTGCAGACAGTGAATGGGATATTGATTCTGGATATGTATAGAGACAGAATTTCCTAGTAACCAATATGACTGATGCCACCATTTGCATATCCAAGAGTAAACCATCGAGAAAAAAAAAGAAAACTTAAAAAAAAATCATGATTGAGGTTTGAATTCCTGTCCTCCTTAAAAATGTAAATAACATTGATTTTATATTAGAATATCATTCATTCTATACACATTTTCTTATGTTCTGTTTATTTTCTTCAAATCTGTCATTAATTTAAGATAACAGTCTTATTTTACAAAAGTTAGGGGGGAAAGAATTATATGCGTATTGTGTGAGTATATATAGTCATTAAAATGTGTGATCTAATCAATTAACTCATACTTTGAAAAAAAATTAATTCTCAGTGATATTGTAAATCTATTGACATCATTGTTGGACAATCCAAAGGCAAACTGCGCGCCTCGTAAAGGTAATTCAATTTACTAGACTAAGGTAGGAGATTACGAATTAAAACACATTTCTTTGGTTGTAAAACCAAGGAGCTATTGTATTAGTTTTGTTCTGAAAAAGTAAACACAATACAATTGTAAATAGTACTGTATTATATATCATTTGATTGACTTTATAAAATATTGTAACAAATGTAGGGCTGTGTTTACATTGTATAAATATTTTTTTATTTACAAAGATAAGTTATAAACATCTTTGTATAGGTCATTTAAATTTTGGTGACCCATGTTATTTCATCTTTAATCAAATCACATACAATGACTGAAGTTCAATTCTGTAAGATAAGCTTAGATTTATTTATTTAATAAATGTAAATTTGTATGAATCATAAAAAAATGAAATGTATGTGTATAACATATTAATTGCTTAGAACTGTTTTATCCAGGGTGGTACAATATTTAATTCTTTCAATTTTAAAGTCATTTTAAGCAATACGATCAAATTGCTCAAATATATTTGATACATGAATCAATTAAAGATGTCTTCACTGTTACTTAAAATGTTTTACATCAAACTGGATCATAAGGTAATATATAACTTTCACGTAAGGAGATATAAATAGAAACAGTCACTAAAGATGGACATTTAAAATGTTTACAGTGTAGCATATGTAAACTTGATAAATCAAAAAAGGGAAGAATGCCAAGGTTGAATAATTGAAATAATTATCTTAAAATAACAAAACCTGGAAGTGTTCAAATTACTTGAAGAATTTATATTATGTTGGGAGTTGGGGTCCCTACTAAACAGAGTAAAAAGAAATAATTTTATCCTTAAGAAATCTAAATGTTAAGAATTTCGGAATTAATACACATTTTTATAGGTTAAATGTTATTGGCTGTAAAGTCAATGAAGTTTTATAGATTTTGTGTTTGAAAATCAGTTTATGTGAAAATAACATTATTTTGGTATGTTTCTTAATTCTGTTAATAATCAATATTATTTCTGCTGTTTCAGAGTTGTGTGATAAAGCGATTCTGTGAGAAACGATTTGTCCATAAATACTTAGCCACTATTGGTATAGACTATGGGGTGACAAGGTAAGTGTAACACAGAGTAACAGTTTATAGATTGGCCTGTTACGTTCACCATTCATTATCATATTGACTACAAGAGAGTCGATAGGGAGAACTTTGAATTAGGTAAAGCTGAACGATCATTCCACACGAAGTACTCTAACAAGCCACAGGTACATATCACTTAACAATTTAACAGTCGGTGAAAAAAAAAGTAAAAAAAAAATAGAATGCTTCTCTTTTCCATTGCCATGTAAACTTACTCTGCCTCATCCTAAAGGAGCAGTGGTGGTCTAGTGGTTAGGGTGTTTGGCACCCTTAATCACATGCCCTCCAGCTTTGGGTGGCGGGTTTGAAACCTTGGTGGGGCAGTCACCAGGTACTGGCTGCAGGTCGGTGGTTTTTCTCCGGGAACTCCAGCTTTCCTACACAACCCAAACCTGGCACATCTGTAACTGACCCAGGCTTTTTATAGGATATTAAGCAAAAACTAACCTCAACCTGAATTTCCCAAACCTATAAATAATTTCTGTTCTTTTAATATGTATAGATATGATTAAAACGAAGTAAATTAAATTAAGATTTTGTGAAAAAAAAAATTAATGAGAAATAAGATGGTGAAATGACTTATATTATAAATTATAATCCTGCGGACAGTAAAATGAAGCCCCAGCGAAATGAGACGCAGTTCAATATACCATGGCCTTTACCAATTATGACACTGAATAGAATTGCGGGAATTGAATATTCAAAATAAAATTCAATATGACTTTCTTATTTGACCACATCATACACTACTCCACATTTATTTCATATCTGCCCTGCCTGATAAATTATATCATCTACCAAGCAGCAAATATTACATATCTGTCCAGCAAGTGTTTCATATCTGTCCAGTCCATTGGTCATATCCTACCAGCTGATACCACCCCTGGATGTGCCAATATTTGCCCAGGATATGTTTGATATAAGCACCCTATGTGTGCCAAATTTTGTCATGTGTGTGTAACACAACTTTATCGTTTTGTAAAACCATAGTGTACATAATTCCCAATCTGGTGTACGTTACACCCATTTTGTTTAATGCATCATGTATATGTCAATATCATTACTTCGTTTTGAGATAATCAATTTTGATATACCATTTCAAGATGGATCCCGTTTTTCAAATGACTTTAAACTGCAGGAAATTGCTTTTATAATATATGCAAATTAATACGCGACTTCTGTTCATTAGCCTTAACAGATTTCTTAAGTCACTTTCTTAAGTTTTCTAAATATATACACACCGTACATGTATATATGTATAGTAAGTAATTACGCATTCAGTAAGGAATTGTTTGTTTCGGTCTTTAGATTGTGCCTTTGTTGATAATAATGGACCCATACTGTTGATCATTATTCCACATATACAGTTGTAATGATTATACGAAAGATACACCAGCCTTTGTGATTGACAACAATGTTTTGGTTTGAGACAATAAAACCATACCTTGAATTATTAGTAATAATTTTATTCATTGGAAAAATTTTGTCAAAACAGATGATTTAGATTTTCAGAATAATTGTAGCTGGGCTTGTACAATGATCTGTTTTTTCAATCACAGCGTATGTCATATTCTGGTTTTAGAATCAAATCTGCTATTAAGGTCACTCTGTCCTTGCTTATCATTAATGTAATGTATCACTGTAATTATACTAGATTGTTGAAAATTTATTTGAAAAATTGGTTATAATGGCCATGTATAGGCTATAGTGTAATTTGATATGAAGTTTGATATTTAGTATGATAAGAACAGTTGAGACCTAGTTCTTTATGCATATATATATATATACATGTATTGTTCTGACCAAACATTAACCAAGGTCAAGGTCACAGAGTTACACAAGTTAAAGGTATGATGGATATTATACATTGTACAGTGTCATATTACAGTGAATATAATAAAGGTGAATTCAGTCTCGGGTTGTCTATACTTGATACATGTAGGTGACATTGCATACAATTCAGTCCAATAAACTTGTGAAAAAACTATGTTACTTGAATTTCCCGGTAGATGATCTATACAGAGTTTGTAACACACAGATGTGCAAGATTTATGCATTCTACAATGACGTGTGTAATTATACCATGTTTTCTCACAATAAGCCCATGCCTGATAATAAGCCCACCCATGTCTATAGCTGTTTATTAGAATTAAAAACAGATTCTATATCCTAGTTCTATGATGATATAACTCTGTTATACTCCAGTCGTATAAAAGATAATACTCCACCCATGTCTATAGCTGTTTATTAGAATTAAAAACAGATTCTATATCCTAGTTCTATGATGATATAACTCTGTTATACTCCAGTCGTATAAAAGATAATACTCCACCCATGTCTATAGCTGTTTATTAGAATTAAAAACAGATTCTATATCCTAGTTCTATGATGATATAACTCTGTTATACTCCAGTTGTATAAAAGGTAATGAAGAATAGGAACTTCATTGACAATCACATGATGATTGACAAAGTTGGAAATTTATCAGTACATACATGTATATACTAAGGTTCATGGTAATTCATGTGGTGCTGGTGGTCTTGTGACTTTAATGGAAAGGTTATCTAGTACTGGTGGTATCATTGGAAATGTCACTGGATACTGTTTGTAGTAATGTACTTGATCTTTAGTGAAAAGTCACTTAGTGCAGGTGATGTTAGTGTATTTGACCTGTATGGAAAAGTCACTTGGTGTTGGTGGTGTCAGTGTACTTGACCTCTATTTAGAGGTCATTTGTTTTTGGTGATGTCGGTGTACTTGACCTAAATATGGAGAGGTCACTCAATGTCAATGGTATTAGTGTACTTGACCTCTGTGGAGAGGTCACTCAGTGTTACTGCTATAATGTACTTTACCTCTGTGGAGAGGTTATGCAGTGTCACTGGTGTTAATGAAGTTGACCTCTATGGAGAGGTCACTTAGTGTTAGTGGTATTAGTGTACTTGACCTCTGTGAAGAGGTCACTCAATGTCAGTGGTGTTAGTGTACTTGACCTCTGTGGAGGTGTTATGCAGTGTCACTGGTGTTAATGAAGTTGACCTCTATGGAGAGGTCACTTAGTGTTAGTGGTATTAGTGTACTTGACCTCTGTGAAGAGGTCACTCAATGTCAGTGGTATTAGTGTACTTGACCTCTGTGAAGAGGTCACTCAATGTCAGTGGTGTTAGTGAACTTGACCTCTGTGGAAGGGTCACTTAGTGTTAGTGCTATATTGTACTTGACCTCTGTGAAGAGGTCACTCAATGTCAGTGGTGTTAGTGTACTTGACCTCTGTGGAGAGGTTATGCAATGTCAGTGGTATAATGTGCTTGACCTCTGTGGAGGGGTCACTTAGTGTTAGTGCTGTTATGCACTTGACCTCTGTGGAGGGGTTATGCAGTGTCAGTGGTGTTAGTTAACTTGACCTCTGTGGAGGGGTCACTTAGTGTTAGTGCTATAATGCACTTGACCTCTGTGGAGAGGTTATGCAGTGTCAGTGGTGTTAGTGAACTTGACCTCTATGGAGAGGTCACTCGGTGTTAGTGGTGTTAGTGAACTTGACCTCTATGGAGAGGTCACTCGGTATTAGTGGTGTTAGTGAACTTGACCTCTATGATGAGGTAATGGTTCATTTGTGTAATCAGTAACTTTTATGGAAATGTCAAATATCGAAAACATTACATGCCACAATTCATGCCTAATGATTTCAAGAAAGGAGATATTGAAGTAAGGTTTGTGGTATTTTGTAATCTCTGGCCTCCAGGTAAAATTGAATGTGTACATAAAAGATAAAGGTGTTGTGAACACAATGACATAAAAGGTAGTGATTAATCGATAGATATCTCACTTCTGTGTAAATGTTCAGCACTTTTATCCCAAATCATTTTCATGGTTATAATTTATTCTGTGACAAATCCTTTGGACTTACACTGAATTGTTTCAATCACAATTTGGTGGAAGTATGATATATAATGGAAAATAATATTGATATGTAATTGTATTGAACAGCAATAGATAGGGATGGATTATCATTATACCAGACATGATTTAATGGTCAGACAAAACATCCAAGTATTCCTTACATGACACTTTTACAAAAATATATTCCTTAATATCATTTTTTTTTTCAGTCAGATTGAAAAATATGAATGCAGGAATATATAAGAATTTGAGTTATGAACTCTCTGAATGAAACATTAAGTCACATTGCTATTTCAACTTTAATTTTCTGTTTCCAGAGTAACAGTGAAAGATCGTGATGTCAAAGTGAATATATTTGACATGGCGGGACATCCAATATTTTATGAAGTAAGTAACTTGACTAAAATATACACGTATAAGTTATGTAATGAGATTTCATTTCTGTAATAATTACCATAACTTTAGTATGCGAAAGTGAAAGTGCAGGCTCATGAGGTCAGGGCCCTCGCTGCGTCCTGGGCCCTTCTCAACGGGTCTTCCTTTCAGGAGTTCATGTCTGCAGCATTCTGGTGGAGCAGGGATACCTTCACAGATTTTTATCTGTGGTCCCTAGCTTCCCACTCTGAAGGTCTGTATTAGATAGAACCACTTGTGGTGGCGCAGTCAGTGGCTGTGCCTCCTCAGTAGCCCCAGGGCATGTCTTTCCATTAGGCAGAACTTTCTGGCACTCCTTTTTCCCTTCCCTACTATTTTCTGCTGTGCTGGATGGGCTGTCTGGCTTCAAGTCACCACTACAGTTACATGAATTAACATACTAAAGTTATGTTATTTATTACTGAAATGGAAGTGAGTTCCCCTCCTCCCTATGATGTAATACTTACCATAACTTTATGGAATCCCACCCTAACCTCCCCTCTTCCCTTTTTGCCTGGCTGCCCCTCAGTTGGTTTCCATGAATGCTTTTCGAGGACGAAAGATCACTCTATGTCACTGCCATGATGGCTCATTGGATTGTAGGGAGGGCAGGACTTTTTAATCTTTTATTTTTGGGATACAAAGATGGGTGTAGGTACCATATATGGAAAAACCTCAATTTGATGAAATCGGTGTTAGAAGTTTTCATTTCTGAAGTGCTAAGTGGTGTAGGAGACAAAGCAAACTTCTGTGTTAATCAAAGTGGCCTATTTTTGATATATGCCGACCCACTCTACTAGGGTCAAACACGGAAGAATGAATGTCCAGTGACAAGTAGTGTAAGAGATAAAGCCCATACAAGATTGTGCAAGGAGGAACAGACACAATGCAAAACTTACTGTATAGACCCTTCCCTCCCCCTACTCCTACCCCTTCCCTCTCCTCTCCCAACCCCCTACCTCCTCCCTCTCCACCTACCTCCTCCCTCTCCCTCTACCCCTACCCCTCCCCCTACCCTCTCCTTCTCCCCCAACCCCCTACCTCCTCCCTCTCCACCTACCCCCTCCCTCTCCCTCTACCCCTACCCCTTTCCCCTACCCCCTCCCCCTCCCCTTCTTGGTAAGGAACTAAAAATAAAAAGCAGATACACATGTATATAACTTTGTTTATTAATCAATTAATTACATAACTTTGTTTATTAATCAATTAATTACATAACTTTGTTTGTTCCATTGTTACAGCATGCTGTTCAGTCCATATACCAGAAATTTCCTCGAGTTTTTCCTGAATATTTAAATAGATCTGAATGGAAACAAAATTTTGTTTGTATTCTTTTTTCCAGGTGCGAAATGAATTTTATAAAGACACCCAAGGTGCTATCATAGTGTATGATATATCAAATAGATCAAGTTTTGATGCTCTAGACTCATGGGTTCAGGAGATGCAGAATGAAACTGGAAATCAAACAGATGCAGAAAATGTGGTTGTATGTGTGTGTGGAAATAAGGTAAGAATAACTTATGTCTGTGGGGTGTTATTGATCGATGTTTCAGACATTATATTCAGAAAAGAGTTATGTGGGACCCACAAATTGGTTAAACTGAAATTTGAATTTTGTGACATCCCATGATGTACCCGTACTTAAAGTTGCATATTTGCCCATCAAATTTTTGATGGGATATAAGCTTGCATGCTATGGTGTTCATGGTCTGTCCATCCGTCCGCTGTAAACTTTTATTATACCTCTCATGACAAGTTGTTGAAGGTGTTTTAGGATCCATCATTATAAAGATTCACATGTGTCCCAAACAGAATCTCTCTACAAACTGCATTTATTATCTGATTGTCACGATACTTCACGCATGTCCACAGACATCAGACCTTTACGATTATATGGTAATAATTCAGACATTTAACATATATTTCCAGTGGAGAAATTGACCCATGAAACAGACCAAATCACTCTGCATTATTCTTTACCCTTGAATTTTGTACAACTTTTTGGGCGCAAGGATTTTTGTATTGTTTGCCCAGGGATCTCCGGTAGTTTCAACTGATCTGGATAACATTTAGATCTGACTGTTTTTGGATGAATTACTGCATTTCAAAAATTTTTTTTCTCATTCTCTTAAACTTGTTTGGAAACCATCGCTCTGATTTTAAACAAATGTCTTTCAAACTTGTGCAGACTTTATAAATATTACATGAAATTGTGTTTTCTTGAATAGCATTTTGATTCAAATATTTTTTTGGAAGAGTTATTGCCCTTTGTTATTTTTACCATTTTAATCTTGTCAACCGGTATTAATCTTATTCTAGTTTTACACCATGATTCATAACTGATTCATAAAACTCAGTTTTCTGCCATTGAATTTAACTCAACAAATCACTTTTGATTATTTTCAGATTTCTAATCTTGTCTGGTCTTTCATTCATTCTCTCAGTTTACTTTTTCCTCTTAGACCTTATTGGTCTTATAATGGAATGTGCATAGAAATGAAATTGTTATCAATGTAATAACACTTATCACATAAATACATGATCTTACATGAGTGTCACTGTAACATGGAATTTATCTAACTGATTTCAATTATTTGAGTGAGCCTTGCTGCCTATAGGCAGGTGACATATGTCAGTTTATTTTATGAGTTCAGTCAGTTCTGTATAACTTAGTCATAAGTGTAAAATGAAAAGGAGGCAAAAACTTTTGAGATTAATTTCCCTATGAAACAGACTTATTTTGATAAGTCTGGTACATTTTTCACTTCAAGACAGTCATGTGACGTCGTCATGACATGACTTATTCATGACATCACATCAGTCTAGTGATATAACATGTAAGGGTTGCTAAATTTATAAAAAATTGATACCTGCAAAAAATTCCTGATATACGGTTTGTGATAAATTGTGTTAAACATACATGATAATACCTAGTGGGGTAGTGATTGGCTGAAGTTTTTGATTACATGTATTATAGTGGTGACATATAATATAATGCATTATGACAAAGAAGGACACTCACAGATTTCTCATCTCACCTCCGATGAACCCAAAATTGGAATTGTCTTATGGTAACTGTATAAACCTTGTGTGCACCATTGCAGACTGACAAGAAGAGGTCTGTGGATGAAGTAGAGGGACGTTTATGGTCAGAAACTAAAGGCTACATGTTCTTTGAAACATCTGCACAGACAGGAGAGGGGGTAACAGAAATGTTTCAGGTAAACCTACTTTTGATCGTTGAATGAAGAAAATATCAATTAATTATTATTAAATGTGATATTATTAAATAAAATATCCTTATCTACATATCTACAATGAACCATGCATTTGCACTCTGCCTCTAAATTCGAATAATCCTGGTCCTTTTTTTCTTATTGGTAAAAACTGAAGAATTTGAAGGACTTAAAAATCACATGTAATACAAAACAGGTTAAAGAATTTCATACTGCCCGGCAAATTCCTACATCCGCAGGTTTGTACAGTATATGTATATTGTGGAAATCATAATTTCAAAGTTGTGTTGTGTTTGCAGTTTTCTTATTAAATTGGTCCGTACCTCACTTGGACTACTTCTATAATCAGTATGTAGATGGAGTGAAAAATCCACTGATAATAAATTTTCCTGAGGGGTGAGATCCTCTCAATAATCTCAAACACAAGGGAGTAATCATGAATGATCATTTTTCTTTTCTAACGACTTGTGACCTAACCTGGTGTACAATGTATGATATGTCATTATGACAATGCTTGATATTATGACATCATGTAATGATTTAGTATGACCTATTTGCAGGCACTATTTGATGCAGTGGTAGTAGCAGCAGAAAATGGTGGTAAAAAGGTCCCCATACAGACACAGCTGGGCTACTCAAAGGAACAAGCAGATGCCATACAGAAACTTAAGTCTGCGAAATCAGACTATGAACGACTTGGGCTGATACCTGGGGCTACAAAGTAAGTATATATACCATCTTACATCAGTCTCCATCTATTATGTGAATTTATGAAACAAATCTTCAAATTTTTCATTTTAGCAAGCCTCTGAAAAATTTGTGACAGGTTTCATGAATCACATGTAGTCCTTTTTATCACATGACTGATATTTCAATTAAATATGATAGAAATTGATCATTTCTACATCAAACATGTCTGTTGTATATCAATGGTCTCCAATGTTATATCACAATGCGCTGTCTACGAATGTGTGATGTCATTTCATTATTTAAGGTGACATCACAAAAAGCTGAATTACACATGTGTAATATACACACAAACATGACATTGGAAAACATTGTAGTCATGAAAGCAAAATTTCTGCAAAAAAAAATGGATAAATATCTTTATTTGTGATGTCATGAAAGAAATACAAACTAAACGTTATATTACATATACAAAGTTCCCAGTTCCTATTGCCATAGTTCACAATCATCACAAACACAGTGTAGGGGTTCTGTTGCAGTGCGGTAAAAAACTGAAAAATACAGAAATTAACCTGTCCTTAGTACATATTTCAACAAGATTAATCAAACTTCAAACGTTTAAACCGTATTAAAGTTACCTCATGGGTCACCTAAGCCTTGCTAAATCCGTAAGTCTGTTTCCTTTGGACTTTCACGTAAACATATCCCATGATGCATTTTTCCACGATGTACAAAGAATGAACTCTGAACCCTGACCTGACTACCAGAGCAGACGGACAATATAAAACTAGCGTTTTACTACATTATTCCTTGAAGGAAAAGAGAAGAATTTTGAAAAATGGGAGAGGAAAGAAATAGGTAGAAATTAGATGAAATACAGCTACACCTGTCTATAAAGACCAATAAGTGGGAGCAGAGAAAAATGGCCTTTATACATAGGTAAAGTGGCTCAATTTGCATTGCATTACATTACATGGGAACCAACGAGTGACCTTTATAGAGAGGTGACCTATATATAAAGGTTTTAAGACAGGTTTGACTATTTAATTTGGGATCCGAAAAATGAAGAAAAGTACCTCCAAGATACTCTCATTTGACATCTACAATTTGTTGTCCTAACTTGATTGAACTCTTCCTAAGTCTTCCAGAACAGAAATCACCAACAGTAGTTGACAAGAAAATATTCTACAAACATCATATGAAGCCCCCTCATTTCACCTTAAGTTACGAGTGCATCTTTACATCTGACAAAAGATATAAAACAGATGTCTCAAGATATTACTTTCGAGCCCATTTTGATGATTTTTTTTTATTGAATTGTCGTCAAAGCAGACATTAATTCAGGATACATATACATTGCATACTAGCCACATCCAAAAGTATTTAAGAATTAATAAATCCCCAAATTTCCTGTACTCCATGTTAATCTTAGAAGATGACGTATGTCTTGTGGTATTTGATTTTTGTTATTTTTTAAAAACTTAAGAATTTTTATTTCAAATTGTTTTAGTGATTAAAATGTTTATGTTTTTTAGGGAGGATGTCAATCGAGCGTACAGGAAGTTGGCTGTGCTCCTTCACCCTGACAAGAGTGTTGCTCCAGGAAGTGAAGAGGCATTCAAACTATTGGTAGCATCACGTACGGCTCTATTGAAACGTTGCTAGCAGGACTGACAACCGGCGCACTGTTTGTTTACAATTATGATATCTGTAAACAAGATTTTGAAATTTAATTGAGATGTATGAAAAACAAATTCTTGGTTGCTTCAAACTTCAGAACATTCTGACATTCCATCCAACCCATTATTTTTCAATTATTGATCTGCTAATAAAATCACCAAAATAGATTTGTGAATTTTGGTATCTGTACTCTGACCTCCGGCTCCTGTCAGAGATACATGTGTGGCAGAAGTAATTATTTATTTCAATGCTTCTGCTAGGATTCGCACCCAGGACCTCTGGCCTACTAGTCTGATATTCCACAGATCAAACTAAAGAGAAATTGTCTCTACTATATCGTGACCAGTATTTTCCAGGGTTACATAATTGTATGTTATACACTTCTACAGACATATGCGTAGAATTCTTACTTACATTTAATTCTTATAAACCTAACAGTTGTCAGCAAACATAGATTTGTATATAATGGAGTATATATTTATTGGTGGTATCACACCTTTTAATTCTTTCTGAACCAATAACAATTAATTGGGAATTTTTCAACAGGTGTCCAAATGTTTTGGATGTTTGTTCAGAATGGAAACATAGACTGACCAGTTTATGCTTGGTCAACATACAATATTATCAAGAGGTCAACTATCATGCAAACAATGATAAATGTTACTGCAATAATATTTTAATGATGAGTGGAAGTGGTCAATGAAATATCTATTTGGATTTAGAATTTTTATTCTGAGGAGGATGACAATGTAAAAGTAAATATCAAACTGTTAGGGAGTAGAGTGATGACAAGATGCATGTGTTACAGATAGTCAAATGTATATATGGCTGGCTAGATAGGCCCTGAACATGTCCACACAGTTTACAGTTGTCAAGGTCCATACACACAGTAAGCTGTTGTCAAGGTCCATACACACAGTAAGCTGTTGTCAAGGTCCATACACACAGTAAGCTGTTGTCAAGAAATGTTATCCTAAATGCAGGTGGAATAACTCCTGAAGCAAGCTTTCAATGTGTTGTACTGCCCTTGAATATGCTGTTTTTGGTGGAATATTTAGTTCTATAGATTGCCATCAGCAGGACATTATGTTTTGATGTCAACAATTAGTTACTGAGGACTGTAAACAGTAGTGTCAGGATCTGTAAAGGTTCTGAATATTACCATGAAAACAAAAAATCTGAAACAAACAAAATCTAACACTAATATTCTCGCAAATAACAGATTTTTTTAAGGTTAGTGAATGTAAATACTACAGTTGTGATATGGATGTGTGAAGTATTTATGATTGACAGTTATATTGATAGATTTCATGTTTAAAAAAGTTAGATTTATGAATTATGTGTGTTAGATGCCAGGTATGTAATATACTGAATAATGTGTGCATGATTTGTAAAATTTTGTATGTAAGTACACCAATCTCTACCCAGAGTTATCTTTCCTTACTGTCACTGAAATAGTGACAGGTAAGGGAATGGAACTGTGGATAATGCTATGGCAAAGATTTTGGTTGTGTGTATGCTGGTAAGGATGTCTTTGGGGAAACAGAAAGATGCTGGGAACTCGGCTAAATCGAAAAATATAAATATCAACCTCTTACTTCATCTCCATCTTATTTTAATTCTAAGATAATTGTGTTACTGCTTTGCTAATAAATGTAGTTTGTTATACTCGACTTGTTTTTTTTGTTGTAGAATATCAACAATCACAAATTAGTGACAAGATATTAATGCTTGTCATTTTTCATCACAGTTGCTCGGGTTTCACATGAAAACAAGAATAATACCAGAATTTAATGTTTGTAAGGGAAAAAATAAAGAAATCGTGGACAGCTTGGATATAACTACAGAATTTGTTTATGATGGGGGTCAGATCCTGATATATGTCCAATTTGTATGTTTTAAAGCACCTGGTCCAGAGGACCAATCAGTTTGTGCAATAGTGTGGCATCTGTTAACTTAAAAAAAATGCTTTTAATCATTAATGATGCAGCAGAGGTTGACCACATTTGTACAGAAGCATCTTTGGGGAAAGATGACTTCATTTTGTATAAACCTGAGGTCTGAAAGTGGAAAATAAACAAATTATTTAATCCTTCTTCATCTGCAGTATTTTTTATCTGAAACATGTTTGGGTGTAGGGTACAGTTTTGTGTAGAAGGTGATTCTGGTTCTGTTGGGGGCAGAAGGGGCAGGTCATATGACAGTAATTTGTCCTGTGGCTTGAAGCATCCTTAGGTGAAGTGGACACAGTATTGTATAAATACTGGATCTGAATCTGCAGGGACGAAGGGGCATGGCCAAACTGGAAAATAGACAGAAATTTTTTTAATCATTTTAATTTAGTTTTGACAAATCAATATCTGAAAAAAAATAAAAGATTTGGCAATACCGACCCTATGGACCTCTTGCTTTTATTTAATTGTGATAAGAAATATCTGTTATACAAAACCAGGAGAGTAAGACTGGCCCTGTGCCCTTGTTATAATAATTCGCTCTAGACCTTGATAATTTGAGTAGTTCCTGTACTACTGCTTGGTGTAAAGGAATATCAACATTGGTAATGAAAATTCACTCTTTCACTAGCCTTTCAAAAATCCTTGAAAATGAGGTAAATAACCTCCCATGCTGTATTTTCAATGATAATTCAAATTGTCTGTTCGGTTTTACGTCTTATCAACAGCTTATGTTTATTGAAGGACGGTCTCCTGTGGCCCCGTATTCACGAAACCGTTCTCATGCTTAAGGATGAATTATGTGCTCAAGCCTCATGTCTTGTTCAAGTTAAAAATTAATAAATAAGACTGATTTTGCCAAAGATTTTTAAAAAATGTTAAAAGGACTCTAAGTCAAAGTTGTAATCAATGTTTATATTTGACATTTGTATTATTTTATATGGCTTAGGAAAATTGTAAAAAAAAGTTTGCTTGAGCACAAAATCTATGCTTGAGCATGAGAATGGTTCATGAAAACGTGCAACCATACAGTACGAAAGGAGATGTTGAGCATTTGGAAAATGTTCGTTTAAGCCTCCTTGTGGTAATGCAACACTGAAATTTTTTTCTGAAAGCGTAGTTAATGTGCTTTCTGCTTACTTGACGACAACCGTAAAAAATCTATGTAAATTATCCAACAAACCGTTAGATTATCTACCTTCGTGTCATTTAAGAACGTGGGACTAACCTTAGAAGTAAAATTACTGAAGACGTAGTGAACAAATCGGGGTTTGTATCACTACTTTTGCAAATGCAAAATTTTCTGAAGAGAAACCCTCGTCGTTTGTGAGTATGGTTGTCAGCTGAACTTCTGAAATAGAGATTATTTCAATAATTGTAATTTACATTAAATTAGTGTACTGTGCCTTAAATATAAAACGGGGAGACATTTATGTTATATTACATTTTTTTCTACTTATAACAAATAGACGTACAGAATATAACCATATCATAACTTAGATAACAGTCGGTGGAAGGAATCATTGCCTGGTAGATATTATACTAAATATCCTCAAGAGGTGTGATACGGAGCCCGTTAACTGACATGCTCCGTACTTATTTTATTTCGTTTTTTCGAAATAATAATTCGTTTAAACGAAATATTATTTTGTTTTTTCGAAATATTAATTCGTTTTTTCGAAATATTATTTCGTTTTTTCGAAATAATGATTCGTTTAAACGAAATATTATTTCGAAAAAACGAAATAAAATAAGTATGGAGCATGTCAGTTAACGGGCTCCGTAGTTTGACAACACATTACTCAACATGTTGGCAACATTGAAAAAAAATGTAAAATCTACGACTGCATACTTCTTACACATACGTTTGTCGGCCAGAGAAACAACATTATCAGATGATGTAACGTTCGGATGGTAGCAAGTTATTAGTCTTGTTTTGTTTCATTACATTGCTTAATGGCCTATCACGAGTTATTTACGGTCGCTCTCTTCACGTGCACGAGATAAATGCACGGGTTGGTCGAATGCGTGTGTTTGCGTGATGGGCGCATCGATTTACCACAAAACACATAACTTTTATCTAAAAACATGAAAACCACAACAAATTCATCCCGAAACACCTGGTAAAATCAAGATTGTGTGATAACAAAACAAATATTTGCAATCGAACATTGGATTTTTTTTTTCTGTTGGCCTGTCTGAAGGGGAGTAACTCTAATAGGCATACCATATTTAGATAATTACACCTGCAATTTACAGAATACTTCGTCTTGTGAGTAATAGTAACTATTTTTTATTTTAAAAAGAATAAGAAAGTAGGTATCCAGGTGGTTGTGTTGACATTTTCTATATGGCTAATTCAATAATAATTGTACATTTAGGATAAATATGATACGATAAATTACAGCAATGTTACGTCACAATACGAGAGCAACGTCACAATACGAGAGTGTATCACAAGTGTTCTACTGCGTTTTTATAGGTTAAGATACAGTTAATTGTTCACATATATATGTTTCAGTCTCAAGAATCATTAAAGTAATATATTTATGACAATTGATATATGATACATGTATATTAAGAAACAAACTTGTCATTTATCTGTATAGATGGTGGCTCCGACACACTGAAACATACTGAGAATTTGTGTTTGTAATATCGTCCGCTGAAAGGCCAAAATGACGTAATAGTGGACTTAAAACCCTTTAACTAAATAAATATATGTTTTTAATTAAGTGATATTTAAAAAAAAATACATAAAGCATACATATACTGATTATAAAATGCTATACAATGTTCGTATTATGTCTGTTTCGGTCTGCATGGATATGAAGTATGGTTCCGACACCAAGATTGAAGATATACTGGTGTTCAGAGAATCATTTCACACAGAACGAATACATAATTAAAAAAACCCATGAAAATCAACACACTGATATAGTCGTTTTGACCGGACAGTCATACAGTATAATTGAATTATGATATTCAGTTATGTCATAAACACCTTTATCTGTAACGTAAACAACACAGGCAAAAATCCTGTC